ATCATAGATCTTGTAGGGCCCTGGCCCTCCTTCAGTACAAATTTAAAGGGAACATCAGTCAAATATTTATTATTATAAGACATATAAGTAACATTAGATTGAAAAATTTACTGAATTATGAATTTTGAATTATGTATACACTCTGCACACAATGAGGTTCCTTAATTAATAGTAGCATTTTAATTAGTTCAAAACTAAAAGTTTTGGGCAATCATAAATTTTTAATCATCTTTTGATATTGATTGAAATAAATTTTCGTGCACATACAGAATGAATGGTTAATAATTTAATATATATGTAGACCAAGCTCTGTACACGGGATGCTTCCTGGAAGAATCCAGTTCTTTTAGCGGGGCACCCTACCTAAAGCCAAATTGAGATATAATAATCATATTCCTAGGGAAATAATCAGAAATCGAATACCAATCAAATAATATGATATTATTAATTAAATTAAAATTGAAATTTAAAAACACCACTATTAAGCGTACACTTTTACTCAGCAGTGTCACTACAACTAGTTTACAAAAATACTTTTAAAACTATATATCAAAAGCAAAATAAAGTTCTATGTATAAATTCGTTCATAAAACTTCCAAAAAGCTAATATAATTTAGATAAGTCAAAGAGAGGGTTAAAATTATTAATAGAACATTTTTGCTACCTCAGTGTCAGATAAAGTAAACAAATAAGTCTTCAGTGCGGACTTAAACGCCTCAACAGAATAACATTGTTTAACTGAGTCTGGTAGTGCATTAAAAACTCGTGGACCAACCACACTAAAACTACGATCACCAAAACCCTTGGTTGAACGATAAGGGACTATGAGCCTAACAGTGTGTCCATGGTGAGCATACTTAAACATATCTTGAAGGTACAGTGGCGCTATTCCATTAATAGCCTTAAAAGATAGGAGACATATTTTAAAAATCACTCTTTTAGGTATATTAAGCCAGTGCAATTTATCAAGATCGTCGCCTAGGTGATCAAATTTATATTTTCCAGTTACTGCTTTTGCACAGGCATTTTGAATAAGCTGTAGTTGATGTATGAGGTACTTGGAGATGCCGTAAAACATGGCGTTACAGTAGTCCAAACAAGAAACAACGAGGCTATTAACAATTGTCTTAAGCTGTTTTGTAGTCAGCAGAAACCGTATCTTAGTGAGGTTGCGTAGTGTTAGGAAACATTTCTTCTTCAACTCAACAACATGTTTGCTCATAGTAAGCCCAGAGTCCATATGTATCCCAAGATTCTTAACTGTGCTCACAAATCGAATAGTTGTGTCACTCCCAAAATTCACTCCCTTTATATTGATCTCTTGTAGGACGGACATAGGACCAAAAACGATTATCTGTGTTTTACTGTCATTCATTGCTAGAAAGTATTTTTTCATCCAAGCTCTAATAGATGCAAAGCATCCCCTGAGCTTAGAGAGTAACGTTTCGCACTGGTTGATGGGTTTAAATCTCTTTAAGATCTGGTGGTCATCTGCATACCCATAAATTGTGAAGTCCATTCCTTGTACAAATCTATAGATGGATCTGATATAAAGGTTAAACAGAACAGGTCCCAGAACTGAGCCCTGAGGAACACCAAACTTAATAACTATTTCTTCAGAGAGAGTAGAACCAAGTCGAATTCTCTGAGCACGACCTTTTAGAAAGCTAGTAAACCATTTTAACACAGTGCCCCTTAGTCCTATCTCCTTCATGAGAATGTTCAGTAAGACATCATGGTCTACAGTATCAAACGCCGCCGATAGGTCAAGCATCATGACAACTGTAGCACTCTTTTCATCTGATGCAACTAGAAGATCATTCCATATTCTGATCAATAATGTTTCTGTGCTGAAGGTCTTCTTGTATGCAGACTGTTCTGGGCAGTGGAGATTATGCTTATCTAAGTGATCGTTTAGGCGCTTTAACACCACTCTCTCGATTAGCTTCCCAAGGAAAGTGAGGTTTGAGACAGGGCGAAAGTTTTTCAAGACATTAGGATCAAGAGAGTTACTTTTCAGGAGGGGAACAATATCAGCAAGTTTGACTCCGTCCATTGAACCTTGAGATAAGGATGCATTAACAATCTGTAGAAGTAATGGTAGCAGAATGCTGATGTTCTCTTTAAGCAGTGTAGTAGGTAAGATGTCAGAAGGTGAACATTTGATACCAAACTCGTCAATGATTTCCTTTAGCTCATCTAATGTGACAGGTTCAAAGGTAGACCAGTGGTAGGATTCGGGAGCTTCAGCAGAAGAGTCTGATGGAAGAGTAAACCGATCATGATCCATATCTTTCCTAATGTTATCAATCTTAGATGTAAAGTAGGCGTTAAAGTCTGCTGCTAGCTTTGGAAGATCATCTGTGTAATCTGGCAGAGGATTAGATTGTTTACGGTCTAAATTTCTATTGACCAGCTGCCACAAAGTTCTTGGGTTGCCTTTAGAGTTTTCTACCATATTCTTAAAGTACTCCTTCTTCTTCAGATCAGCCATTTTAGAACATTCTGAGCTGATGTCTCTAAACATGATTTTATCTTCAAGCGTTGCTGTTGGTTTACGAGTTTTTGCCTCGGCTTTTCTTCTCAGCTTTCTGTAGTCCCTGTATTCATTATCAAACCAAGGTGCAGAATCAATAACAGATACCTTCTTGGAGACTATTGGAGCATGCTCATCTAGGAGTTCAGCACACAAGTCGTTCAAGTTGGCAACAGATGCACTCATATCAGTAGTTCCAATTTTCCCAAGATCAATCAAGTTTACTATATCGAAGAGATCACTGGTAAATTGGTCATCATCCACAGTCTTCAAATTTCTGTAAGTGATATCTTTAAAATATTTCTTTTCGAATTCCAAAGAGAAGTCACAATAGACTGGAAAATGATCTGATCCATGCCTATTCACACTATCAACCAAAACCTTGCATTGAAGCTGATTCTTGATAGAGAAGCAGAAGATTTGGTCTAGTGATCCACCAGCAACATGGGTTGGTTCATTAACATGATGATTAAATCCGTAAGACAGAAATAAGTCAAGCGTCTTCCTAACAAGCTTGTCATTCTTATTCTCAAAATGAATGTTCAAGAATATAGGAGTAGTAACCATATTTACTATGCAAAATGCCCCAACCACATAGTGTAAATTTATATAAAATCCAAATTCCATATCATCATTAAACCTCAATAGTCAATATAATAGCCCCAGCAAAATTAAATAACTTCTTATATACCTTACTGTCATACTACAAATTAATTAAACATTTGAAATCTATTAACCAGAGAATAAATTTCTAAACCTAATGCAAGTGAAATAATTTAGATGCAATAATGAATGCCTAATGTGAGTATTATCTGTCAATGTCCTTGTAAAACAGTCTGTACAAGAGATATGAGTAACTAATATAGAAGAAAAAAACAGGAAGTTGTCGTCTGTTGAAAAATAAATAAAATATCTAGAATATAGATTAGAATATAAAATAACATTCAGTCAATGTGCCCATATCCAAAAACCCGCATTCTCGCATTCTAAGAATGTAGGAAATTTTTAAAAGTAGGAAATTTTTGACAAAAAATAGGAAATTCGAGTGCCAACTCTGAGAATTTTCGATAATATTTCAGTAGGAATTTAAATGAAAGAGCAGACTAAAAGTTTCTGGACCTTTATTTAAATGTCCTCAGTCAGGGATCCACTGATCCAGTCTATCAATTTCGTTTCACAGACCAAAGTTTGTTGCTATTAGCTACAAAATCTGTGCATCAAGTAACCACTAACCAGATGCTAATTATTGGGGCATTTTCGCGTACACGACATAAATTATAGTTGTCATTATTACTTTATTAACATTTTACTATCTACTTATCTACCTTACTCGGGAATATTATAACCGGGATAAAGTGGTGGGTTTTGGAAGATTCCGCCATATTTTTCCCGGTCAAAAGTTTTACCAGTCATAAAAAAACCCGCCGACTCAGATTATGGGGTTCCAAGGGGGTGGTGATCATCATATTTTACCTGAAGTCTCATATGTGCTAGAGAAGACTTTTGAAGCAGTGGATGGAGGGCTGTAACTTTATTGGCGGTTGCTACCATAATTTCGTTATAAAAATCACAATTTGGTTATAGAAATCAGATTCCAAGGTGGACCGTGATTATCACTTCTCTTGCCCATGAATCAGTGAATCGTGAGAAGAAAACAATTTATATGTTATAGAAGAAAACGAAAATTATAATAATATATAATATATATTATAATTATAATGGCTCTAAAGATTGATCGCTTCTCGTGTGCAGTGTGTAGACTAAAGAAAGAGGGAGTTTTTCCCGTTAAAGTAACTTGTGGCCACATCCCGCTAGAAGTGAGTAAACTGTGCCACTATTTCATGGTCCACGGTGGATTGATTACTGGAGCAGTTGAAGATACAAAGCCAAGACGTTCCCCAATACCAAGCGGTGGGTAGGAAATTAAGCTCCGGCTGACCTTCAGAGCAGTAGCCCCATTAGCGGACAAAATGAAAGTCTTGTTAAGACAACAATACAACTTCGAATTTGACGGTCAGCAGCTCAGGGGGATATCAATAATGATAATGGCGGGGACATTAGCGATAATGAGAATGAGAATACGCCTTAATGAAGATTTGACTTATTATTGCTTAGATTTATTTTCCTTTAAATAGACGTGTCTTTTTTTTCTATTTCTGAGTAATATCAATAACTGTAAATTGAAATAACTTCTTTAACAAGTAACAAAAACAGAAATTTCGGTTGAAAATTTGTTGACCTCTGAAAAAAAACTTGAAAGGTCGGCCACCGGTAAATACATGACCGGGATAATTTGGCGGGTTTTGGGAAAGTCCGCCATATTTTTCCCGGTCATTAATTTTCCCAGTCATAAATTAACCCGCTATAATATTCCCGAGTAAGGTAGTCTATGAAACCGGATATGTCTATATAATCCTTTTATATGATCTAATACGTTTAAATTCATGCTTTCAGGTGTAGTCCTATGGATATGCTCTGGCAGATCACTGATCGGATATGTAAATATGAGGACAAGTTCATCATTTGGAAATACTCAGATTTTGGACGCTGCTTTCAACAAATTGCAATTATATCTCCAGTATACATTTTTCTCCTCTTCACTGGCACTTTCTTCTGTGCTAAAGCCAGATGTCGTCACATTACGTTTGGAAATATCAATAGAGCGTGGATTGTACTACTGAGAGTATTAGCTCATCTGATTATCATTGGGAGTCAAATTGGCTTGATTATAGAGCAATTTGTTTCATTGGAAAGAGCAGAGACAATGACGATAGCTGTGGAGTCATTGGTATTACTGGCATGGTCGTCAAGCCTTGGTGCAATCCTATTGTGGAGAAACAGTTGGTACAGCGTGGCTTTTGGGAGGGATTTCAATGTGCTTAAAATAGCATGGGTAATTGTTTTTATATCTTGTTCATTTGAGTTATACAGTGCAATACTGTACACTACTGGAAAGGAATCCCCCTTACAAGAAGAATCTTTTTCCGTATATGAATCTATAAACATATATCTACGGTGGGCAACATATCTCAGTGTCCTGCTTCTACAAATACCGAGATCAAATTACCAGAATCTGCCTACTTCTACCATCAATGATGATCAAGAGGCAGGGTCTTCACGAGGAAACCACCAAGAGAATGTGTCTGAGCACTCATTTTCAATACTCTCAAGAGCTTCCTTCCACTGGGTAACTAAATTATTCAGTAATGCTCAATATACACCATTTCCATCGATTGATGATTTACCTTTCAATTTACCTTCCAACATGAATCCAATTGCTAATCACTGCAAACTCAAGCTTGCTCTTCAACATTATACACAACCATCGTTCCAACCGCTGATGATGCAGTCAGATTCGCAAGGCCATTATGAAGATCTGATCCAACCTCTCCTTGAGAGTTCAAAAGACATTAAAAAATGAACATTAAGAGATTTCCACTTCTGAAATCCTTAAACAAGGCTTTTGGATGGTCCTTTTGGCCACTCAATTTGGTCAAGTTGGTGTCTGCTGTATTAGAAATTAGCTCTCCAATTATTTTGAACCTGTTCCTTCAAGATCTCGAGAGTGGTTCCGACAGTATTGTATCAGCTGTAATATACTTAGGTTTACTCATTCTCATTCTTATCCTCAACTCATTCATCGGTTCTCACTTATCTTACGAGGTAAGCAAGTTACAGATAACTATGAAAGGTTCAATAATCACAGAACTGTATTCTAAAGTAATGAATATTAATCTGAGTAGGCTAAAGTCTTTCTCAGTCGGCGAGTTAACCAACTTTGCTTGCCAAGACAGTGAACGAATTTCCTCTCATTTGGTTTGCTTCTTTGAAATATGGTACATGCCCCTAAAGCTAGGTGTGATATTCTATCTAATGTACAGATATATTGGATTGTCATTTCTTGCAGGGATAGGATTCTGCATTCTCCTCGTCCCTCTGAATCAATTAATCGCAAAGAAGCTTCATGATTATAATGATGGTTTACTAAAGCACAGGGATAGAAGGTTGAAGCTCATTCATGAGGTCATTACAAATATGAAATCAATAAAGTTTTTCTCCTGGGAGGAAAAAATCATCGAAAAAATAGCAGCTTTGAGAAACTTAGAGATAAAAGAGTTAAGAAAGATTGCTAACTTTGATGCTGTATGTGTGTATTGCTGGGCATCTGCTCTCTGCTTGATCACATTCGTGATTATGGCAACCTATTCATCACTGGGTAATCAGATAAGTGCCAGCACAGTCTTCACCACTTTGGCCCTTGTTGGCCAGGTCATAATGCCATTGAATGCACTTCCATGGGTAATAATGGGATTCATACAAGCATGGGTGTCACTCAAGCGAATTCAACGCTTCTTTGATGTGCCCGAGGATGCTCCTCAAAGAGCTGCACTATCCCTCCCATACGAAGAGCAAAATGTCATTGAAGTTGATAACTGTTCTTTTTATTGGACAGATCCTGGAATGTGCTGCTTAGTTGGCCTGCAGTTTCAGGTTAATAAGGGCGAACTTATGGTTGTGATGGGTAAAAGTGGATCTGGAAAATCATCACTCCTTTTAGCCCTTTCTCAAGAACTAAACATAGCATCCGGAGTACTTCGTTTGAAAGAGTGGAAAGATGGTGCTGGAATTGTCCTTCAAGATTGCTGGATCAAGTCTGGTTCTGTTCGTGAGGCTGTTCTTGATGGCTGTGTCTTTGATCTCTATTGGTATGAAAAAGTAATTTATGCATGTGCTCTTGACAATGACATAGCAAATTTTCCACTTGGAGATGATACACCAGCGGGAGCTAATGGATCAGCTCTGAGTGGGGGACAAAGACTGAGATTATCTTTAGCTAGAGCAGTGTACAAAAACAAACAGGTATATCTTATTGATGACATATTTGCTGGATTGGATAGTCAAGTAGCCTTGCATATATTCCAACACTGTATAAATGGGTTACTAGCCGCTAAAACCAGAGTAATCTGCACACATCTCAAGCAATTTGCCTCTTCTGCAGATACACTCCTTATCTTGGCAGATCGCCATATCAAGTATATTGGGCTACCACATATGCATGATATGCCATACTTAGACTCTGTGTTATTAAAAGATGCTGACGAGGACAGTGAGAAAGACGAAGTTGAAAAAGAAAGAGCCCAGTATGAGGAGCCTAGGCAGTTTGGTCCTATTGATGTAACAGTCTACAAACATTATACGAAGGCAGCTGGTGCAGTGCTGACACTTGTAGTAGTGATATCTATGTTTGGTATGCAAGGAACCTCAAACCTGTCGGATTGGTGGCTGTCTGTGTGGGTTAAAGCAGTTGCTGTTAATCCGGCATACCTTCTGTCAGCTGTGCAGCAATATGTCACAACACTGTATACTAGCCGTCTGTCACCCTCTATATACCCAACAAGGTTATTGCTCACAAACTCATCCTTAAATCTTATTTCTGAAGATAAATCTAATGGAACATTCTATCTGGCTATCTATGGGTCTTTAATAGCTGGAAACACTGTTTTTGCTCTTATCCGAGCATTCAGTTTTGCATTTTTTGGCATTTCGGCCACAACAACTCTGCATAATAACATGCTGCAGTCTGTTATGAAAGCTACCATGCACTTCTTTGATAAGACCCCAGTTGGTGTTATACTCAACAGATTTTCCAGCGACATTTACTCTGTTGACAGCAATCTACCATTCATGCTTAACATCCTCCTAGCACAGTGCCTTCTCCCTGATAGGTACTCTAGTCATGACATCCTATGGTTTACCATATATTCTGCTAACAATAATACCAATACTGGTGCTCTATTATTTCATTCAGAAGTACTACATAACAGCAGTGCGAGAGGTAAAGAGGCTTTATTCCATGTCCCAATCTCCACTGTTCACACACTTTGAGGAGAGTGTGTCAGGACTAGTCTACATTCACAGCTTCAGAGCATACAATTCTGTTCAAACTATGGGTGTCAAGTATCTGGAAGCTTTTCAGAGATCGTGTTTTTGCATGAGCGCCGCTACCGCATGGCTTGGGTTGCGTCTCCAACTTTTAGCTGCAGGAGTATTGTTAGTGGCTTCAGTTATTATCCTTACTGAAATCCATTATGGTGTTGCTGATGCTGCCGTGTTAGGCCTGGCACTCACCTATGCTCTCACCATTAATTCTACTTTAACAGCTCTAATATTTTCAATGACTGAAGCAGAGAAGGAGTTTGTGGGAGCAGAAAGAGTTCTACAGTACACACACGACCTTCCTATTGAGGTTGAAAAAGAAGACATACAGTCAGTTGACTACAACTGGCCGTTATTTGGTGCTATACAATTCAGTAAGGTGTCAGTCCGTTACAATGGGTGTAACAAGAGAGCTGTGGATGAACTGAGTTTCTCGGTGAAGCCAGGGGAAAAGTTGGCTATAGTTGGTAGGACAGGGGCCGGGAAGAGCAGCATGTTCCTGGCTCTCTTTCGACTTGTTGATCTGGAAACTGGAATAATTGTAATCGATGGTACAAATATACATGACATCAGCAGCAAGGTTTTACGTCAGAAACTCTCGATTCTCCCTCAGCAACCGCTAGTTTTTACAGGTACTATTCGAGAGAACATAGATCCTTTCAACAAGTACAATGACAAGGACATCATAGAAGCGCTCGTTAAATGTCAGTTATCAGAGTTTGTTAACGGAGAAGATCATATTAACCGTCACATTTCACTAAAAACTCTCAGCTCTGGCGAATCACAGCTCTTTTCTCTTGCTAGAATACTTCTCGAAACGTCAAAGATTTTGTGTCTTGACGAGGCCACTTCCAATGTTGATATGGAAACAGACAAAATAATTCAGAAGATAATTCGCAAAGAATTCAAGGAATCCACCATAATCACAGTAGCTCATCGGGTTGAAACGATAATAGACTACGACAAAGTGTTGGTCATGAGTAGAGGTAAAATTGTGGAAGAAGGAAATCCCAAAGAACTCCTCAAGGAAAGATCGTCTTTGTTTAGAAATCTAGCTGTCAAAGGGGGGGTTGTTTCCTCAAACATTGATGATGCAATCGCTTCATCATCAAAATCACAATGACTCAGTTATTAATGATATAATCTTTAATATTTTAGTGGTTTTATCCAACGTTTAATTCTTTCTTTCTTCTGCGAGTGTATTTGCACTTTGCAGTGTGTTTCATGCGGCCTTTAAAGCTGTATTTTGAACGTAAATTTAAACTAAGCGGAAATTATTTACGTCAATATTGACTGTCAGGAGAAAATTTATTAGTAAGACGATAAAATATATTTATGACAATATAATATATTATAATATAACTAGAAAGGAAATAGCATTTTTTTAGTAGTCAGTTTTATCATTGTTTTAATATTGCTTGATAAAAGGTGACATTTGTTAGATACTGAAAGTAACTAGTAGATAGTAACTACTCGAATAGAAGGTGCCGAATTCACACTGAAAAAGTACGAAATTCGGTGGACCATATTCGCTATTGGGCTGATATTTTCGGTTCTTATCAAAATAAGTGTTTGGGAGATGTGTCCAGGATAATGTTACTTATATGATAAAATATAAGGTACTATAGCTTAGGTTTTTAGTGGAACATTATAACAGTTCTACTTGCATATATATATTATGTACATTAGCTAATAACTAATGTATATTATAAATTACATTATCTAATAACTTTTTGATAAATTTGTGGAGTTAACTAGTTAATCATCTGATATGTATGCATGCTAGATGGCGTTTACATGAAAATGGTGACACATTTCATTTACAAGTCTAATAACACATGATGTGATTTTTTTCCAAAGCAGGCATCTCGATATTTTATTAATTAATCTATCTAATTTCACTGCTATTTTTAACACTTTACCGAGAATTTCAAATGTGTTTTATTATTTCTATTAAATCATATTCAATTGGTTGTAATAATGAGGTCAAAATAATTCATTTAAATACCTGATTCAGATAATCGAGCAATTTTTTATAACAGTGATTTGCAATAATAAAAATAATAATATGAATTGTCTTTCCTACAATTATTATTCTAGCATTATATATATAATAAGAAGTTTAAATGTGATACTAACTGTTTCTCACCGCTTCTAAGGATGGTTGACGAGTATGAATCAATGAGCAGTTTTCTAGATGTACTCTGTAAAAACGAGGAGCCCTCGCTCATATGGGAGGGTAATGACTTTGGAGGCTGTTTTGAAAAAGTGGTGGTTATTTCCCCTGTATATGTGATCATGAGTTTTATTTGCTCTTTTTTTATTTTCAAAGCCAGCTGTAGCTCCACAGCCTCAGGTATCCTGAACAGGGTCTGGGTCCTTTACCTCAGATTAGTGCTACATGCTGCCATTATTTGCACTCAAATTGCTTTATTTGTTGAGCAGTGTTTTGCTGTGGAAAATATCCAAACTGTGGAAATTGTGGCTGAAAGTTTGATATTGCTAGCGTGGTGCCTGAGTGCTTTTGTGATATTTATTTGGCGCAGGAGCTGGCATAGTGTGAGTTCAGGGAGAGACTTTGATATCTTAATAGCTTCATGGTTTCTTGCTTTTATATCTTGTTCATTCGAATTGCACAGTGCAATTTTGTCAACCACCGGTAGTGCCTCTGCTTTGGACGAGGACACCTTCAAAGACTATGAAGTGAGAAACATTTACACACGCTTTGTATTCTATGTTGGGATACTACTTTCTCAAGTCATAAAATCAAACGTGCCAGTCAGTGTCCTGGAGGATGAAGGGGCCGGATCATCTAGAGGCACTCGAGTTCAACATTCCCCAACTGAGGAATCCGCTTCCTTTATTTCTCGTATCTCCTTTCATTGGGTGAAGAAGCTCTTCACTGTAGCACGAGAATCTCAGTTTCCAACCGTTGAACACTTACCTTTTGACCTTCCAACTTCGCTAAATCCAGCTGCCAACCATTGCAATCTCCAGCTGGCTCTCAAACATTACTCTCAACCAGATAATAGCTCCTCGTCTGAGGAACCTGATATCACACAACCTTTGATTGAAGCGTCTCGCCCTGAAGCATCAGACAAGCTTTTTCTCGTGAGATCAATAAACCGGGCTTTCGGGTGGACTTTCTGGCCATTAAACCTGATAAAGATGCTGGAGCTTATCTTGAATCTGAGCGTGCCTGTTATATTGAACTTGTTTTTACACGAACTTGAGAGGAGTTCTCCGAACCTTGTCTCTTCTGGCTTGTATCTGACACTGTTGGTGGTTGTCAGCACTGTCAAAGCATTTGTGGGTGCTCACTTGAAGTTCGAGCTCAGAAAATTGGGGATGAGGTTGAAAGGAGCTCTCATATCTGAGCTCTTCTCCAAGGTTCTAAATATTAATTTTGCCCGATTGAGATCATTTAGTGTCGGACAAATATCAAACTTTGCTACAGAGGATGCGAATGCCATTTCCTCTCATCTGTATGCCTTGATGGATATTTGGGCAATACCTTTGGAACTAATCATCATCTTGGTATTGCTGTATCATTACATCGGCATGTCTTTTTTATCAGTCCTTGGGTTTTGCATCCTCACAACTCCTTTAAATATATATGTTACCAGCAAATTTGAAAAACACGAGGACAAACTTATGAAACAACGAGATGACAGACTGAAGTTAATCTATGAAATTTTTGCGAATATAAAGACTGTTAAATTCTTCTCGTGGGAGGAGAGTCTTATTGCAAAACTATTGGAATTGAGAAACGTGGAACTAACTGAATTAAAAGCTATTGCAGTGCTAGATGCGGGCTGTGTGTTCCTGTGGGCAATTGCACCAAGCCTGATTACAACACTGACTATTGGGACATACTCCCTGCTTGGAGGAGAGATCAGCGTCAGCATGTTGTTCACAACTCTAGCCCTGGTCAGCCAAATGGTCGAACCATTGAATATGATACCCTGGGTGCTGCTGGACTTTGCCATGGCCTGGGTATCCACTAAACGTGTCCAGACCTTCTTCTGCTTGTCAGATAATTCCCCAACCAACAACGAAGCTGATAATCCTTTGGGCGAGAATAGCATTATCGAGATGGACAACTGTTCGTTCTATTGGGAAGACAGCAATGACTGTTGCCTTGCTCGCCTTCAGTTTCAGGTTAATAAGGGCGAACTTATGATTGTGATGGGTAAAAGTGGATCTGGAAAATCATCACTCCTTTTAGCCCTTTCTCAAGAACTAAACATAGCAACCGGAGTACTTCGTTTGAAAGAGTGGAAAGATGGTGCTGGAATAGTCCTTCAAGATTGCTGGATCAAGTCTGGTTCTGTTCGTGAGGCTATTCTTGATGGCTGTGTGTTTGATCTTTACTGGTACGAGACTGTTGTCAGTGCTTGTGCTCTTGACGAAGACATAGCTGCTTTTTCCCAAGGGGACGAATCACCTGTAGGAGTGAATGGATCATTATTGAGCGGGGGACAAAGACTGAGATTATCTTTAGCTAGAGCTGTATACAAAAACAAACAGGTATATCTTATTGATGACATATTCTCAAGTCTTGATGCTCATGTAGTGCACCACATCTTTGAGAATTGCATAAATGGAATCCTAGCTAGTAAAACTCGAGTGGTATGTACCCACAACAAGTCGTTATCCGCATCTGCAAACACACTCATGGTACTTGATGAGGGGCAGATACGATACATAGGACCACCACAAGTTACTGGCTTACCACCAATAGATGATACTGCTTCTCCTCATATCAAAAGTAGTGATGTAGGAGAGGATCAGGACAACTTGCAACACCCTTACGTAGAACCTCGGAGCTTTGGAGCTGTTAACTCGTCAGTGTACGGGTTCTATCTACAGTCTGCAGGGTACACACTCTCTTTCCTGGTGGTACTGTTCCTCTTTTGCATGCAAGCCTCGGACTCGGCTGGAACAATATGGCTCTCGTTGTGGGCCAAGGCAGTATCGCTAACACCTGGCATTAGGGAGTTTCCCTTGGGGGTGGTTTCAGCTCAACATTGGAACACTTCCCAGCATAGCAGCGGACTACTTTACGGGCTAAATGACCAAGTTTTCAAGCGGCTGGGAGTGCCCTCTAACTCTTCCTTCTATCTAGAAGTGTATGGCTCTATAATTGCTGGTAACATTATTTTCAGCTTAGGCAGGGTTTTGAGTTTCATCCCTTTTCAAATAGCTGCCACAAAGATTCTCCACAACAAGATGCTCATGTCCATCATGCAAACTCCACTACACTTCTTTGATGCTACACCACTTGGAGTGATCATAAACAGGTTCTCATCTGATGTGTACACAGTAGACAGTGATGTGCCGATCGAGGTGAACATCTTCGCAGCTAACCTATGTTACATAGTGGGTGTCGTGGTGGTCACTTGTTACGGACTTCCATACATCATCATCTCATTTGTGCCTCTTTCAGTCTTCTATTTCTTCATTCAGAGATATTACAGGCGCGCTGTCAGGGAAGTCAAACGCCTCTATTCTATGTCTCAGTCTCCACTTTTCTCTCATTTTGAAGAAACACTTGGAGGGGTTTCTTACATTCACAGTTTCCGCAGCAGTGCTGCTGTGCAAAATACTGGCATGAAAATCCTCAAGACGTACCAGAGAGCGGAGTATTGCTTAACAGCAGCAAATGTGTGGCTCCGTCTCAGACTGGAACTCCTCACTGCTCTTGTCATCGCCTTCGTTTCCTGCGTTGTCCTGATCCAGATGAAATTTGATAATGTTGATGCATCCAGACTGGGACTGGGACTTACATTAGCTTTCTCTATCAGCCAAGCTATGGACTATCTTATCTCTTCTTTTACTGATCTCGAAAAGAGCTTTGTAGCCGCCGAAAGAGTAATGCAGTTCACTGAAAATCTACCTCGAGAGAAGGAAAGTGATCATGCTATGTCTGTGTACAGCAGCTGGCCAGAGTTAGGTAACATCACATTTTCGGCAGTTACTGTCAGATACAAAAACTGTACCACAAGAGCACTCAATAACGTAAACATTTCTATCAGAACAGGAGAAAAAGTAGCAATTGTAGGGAGGACCGGTGCAGGTAAAAGTACCCTGTTTCTCGCACTTTTTAAGCTTGTCGACCTTGAGAGAGGTAGTATTATTATTGATGACGTTAACATTACTGAAATAAGCAACAAATCACTCCGAAAAAGTCTCACCATTATTCCTCAGCAACCCCTTATTTTCTCTGGAACTTTAAGGGACACCCTTGACCCTTTTAGCGATCATTCTGATGAGGAGCTAAAAGCTGCTCTGCGGCAAACAGAAATGGTGCATTATTTGAATTCCAAAGATGGCCTCAACAGTGAGGTTGCGTTAGGAACATTAAGCACTGGAGAGTCCCAATTGATATCCTTAGCAAGGGCTTTCTTGAGAAAATCCAGGATAGTTTGTTTGGATGAGGCAACTTCCAATGTTGATAGTGACACGGAGCAGCTGGTACAGAGATTGTTACAGAACCAGTTGAGTGGGTGCACAGTACTGGCCATCGCCCATCGTATAGAAACTGTATTGGACTATGACAGGGTCATCGTTATGAGCCAAGGTTCTATTGTGGAGGAGGGGGATCCACGAAAACTCCTTCAAAAAAGTTCATCTCACTTTCACCTGCTAGCAAAATCAAGTGGCTTGGCTTCATCTGGCCAAGGTGATTCCAGTGGGATGATGAAGGAATCCTTATCAATAGAGCGTTCACATCACAGTTCTTTTCAAGAATCTTCTCCTACAGGGTCAGGTTCATCACACCAGTCTTATCGTCCTGGTTCAGTCCACCGCTCATCACAAGGTTCCAGTTCTGATATTCAATAAACTTGTCTTACAAGGGTTTCAGTGTTGTATGGCAGCATTACATCATATATTAAGAGAAACGCCATTGTCGGACGTGAGGAGAGTGAGGACTCCTCAAACTACATTAAATATATTCTTTCTGTAACATCCTCAAGGTCCTTAACAAGATGTAACCCTGTTAAGGTCCTTAACAATATGTAACCCTGTCAAGGTCCTTAACAAGATGTAACCCTGTCAAGGTCCTTAACAAGATGTAACCCTGTCAAGGTCCTTAACAAGATGTAACCCTGCCAAGGTCCTTAACAAGATGTAACCCTGTCAAGGTCCTTAACAATATGTAACCCTGTCAAGGTCCTTAACAAGATGTAACCCTGTCAAGGTCCTTAACAAGATGTAACCCTGTCAAGGTCCTTAACAAGATGTAACCCTGCCAAGGTCCTTAACAAGATGTAACCCTGTCAAGGTCCTTAACAAGATGTAACCCTGCCAAGGTCCTTAACAAGATGTAACCCTGTCAAGGTCCTTAACAAGATGTAACCCTGTCAAGGTCCTTAACAAGATGTAACCCTGTCAAGGTCCTTAACAAGATGTAACCCTGTCAAGGTCCTTAACAAGATGTAACCCTGTCAAGGTCCTTAACAAGATGTAAACCTGTCAGGGTCCTTAACAAGATGTAACCCTGTCAAGGTCCTTAACAAGATGTAACCCTGTCAAGGTCCTTAACAAGATGTAACCCTGTCAAGGTCCTTAACAAGATGTAAACCTGTCAGGGTCCTTAACAAGATGTAACCCTGTCAAGGTCCTTAACAAGATGTAAACCTGTCAGGGTCCTTAACAAGATGTAACCCTATCAAAGTCCTTATCAAGATGTAACCCTATCAAGGTCCTTAACAAGATGTAACCCTGTCAAGGTCCTTAACAAGATGTAAACCTGTCAGGGTCCTTTCGAGAACACTCATTTCTGTAATCGACCATTTCCTGGTCAAAGTGCACTTTTCGGAAAAACACAATTTGTTTTATGGATAGGCTATAAGTTAATCATTTCGTGTGGTACTATCGAGTTGAAATTTTGCTCGAAGTTAATTCATATCTAGTTCAAGATGAGTGTAAAATCTTGATATCGTATCTGAAAAGGCTGCGTTTTAATACATTTTTATTATAGTCAAACAGGGGTCAACACAAACCCCTGTTTTGGTGTTGACCCCCTTAAGGCCACAGGGGGGGGTCCGAGGTCGATTTTGAGATTTTGAGATATGTTGTAGAGCTCGATCTAAATTTTCAAATGCTTTTGTCCTTACCGAAAACAAAGTTTCCTATTTGAAGATATCGCGCGTTGAATTCTGAGGTTTACCTGTAATTCTATTGTAAATGAAAACTTTAAATGAAATCGTGTTCAAAATCTATCTTCTTTTTCAGTTTATGACTTAGAACCTTGTAACTTGGCAACAATGTTCTTCAAGGTATTTTGAGTTTTTGTTATGTAACGATTTATGATATCTTGCTCCAAAGCTGAGATATGAGGTTAACCATGAGTGCGGGTTACAAAATTTAAAATGGTTAACCTCATAAAAAGAGTTAGGAACAAAATTACAACAATCGTTACATAACAAACTTTTAAATTTATGTCAGGAACATAAGTTCCAAATTTGAGGTGAAATGGATAAAAACTCTAGGAGAAGATAGATTTTGAAGTCAAAAATTCGAGGTTTTCAGGAGAGGCAAAAAACTGTTTTTTATGTTATGTGATTTTTGAGAATTTTGCCTTTATTTGTATATTTTTCAAAGTTTAACTGCTGAAATAACACAAAAACAATAAAAACAAAGCTTATCGTAGTTTTCAGTTGTAATGGCATCAATATTTCTGCCCTCCATTATCGATTTATCAAAAAAATGAGGTTAAATGAGAATTGGTTAACCTCATTTATAAAAAAAAGTAAAATAGCTACAGACAAATGAGTGGTGGCAAAGTATCCACCACAAAAATATATATTGATTCAAAGCATAATGTTTTTTTGCATTTTTTGAGGCCTCGACCCCCCCCTGTGGCCTTAACAGGGTTACATCTTGGTGACAGATGGTATTATATATTATTGCATATATTTTAATACTTTTTCGCCGATTGTTAACCACTTCCCCATCCGTAATAAGTTTTACACCATTGCGTTCTCAGTAACTATATAATAATATGTTTTTCAAAATCCAGTAGATTTAAAGGATTTTTATTGATTTTTTGTACGATCTGCTTTTTAGAAGAATTTATGATTTTATCGGAATTGTTATTGATATTTTTGAGCCAAGTTGAATAATTGTGCGATTGCTTAATAAGCTGCTAGAAGATATACACATCTTTGTAATGTATAGTCGAACGATTTCAACTGATACATTAGCGAAAGTGTGCAATATTTGTATATAATACTTATTGTACAGGATGATTCAAAAAAGGTTCAAGGGATTTTAAATGGCAACAATTCATGAGATAAATTTAAAATTCACTTTTTTTTTTGCATATTTAGGTTATAAAAATGTATGATAATTAGTATAACACAATAAAATATCAAATAATAATTTTCTCAATCCAGTGTATTTGTTGCTTTTTTATTTTTGTGAGCATATCACAACGTTATAATAGGAAACACATGGGGTTGCTATGTAAACACATGGGGTTGCTATGTAAACACATGGGGTTGCTATGTAAACACATGGGGTTGCTATGTAAACACATGGGGTTGCTATGTAAACACATGGGGTTGCTATGTAAACAGATTATAACCAGTCATTGAAATGAAGTTTTCAATATTGAAATCAGAATAATCGTCAAATTTTTATTGTTTTTATTGTTTTGTATCCCAATTTGACAAATTAGAAATCATCACAAGCAGAATATTTTTGTTAATTTTTATTTTTAGATCGATGTTGAGTTTATGACTCTCAATTTGTACTATTATTATATTGTAGTTAATCATGAGTTTCATTTGCATCTTCAAATTGCACATTTTCTCTTTGCTCTGTACTCAAATACTCAAACCCCTAATTCAAAATAAAACTGAATGAAAAGATATGAGTTGACAACTAAAATAATATGTAAATAATATGTTAATATATTCTGTCTCCCCCCATTTAGTATGATACGTACCGTGGTGTGGTGGGGAGCAGCCGGACTGTTCAGCGCCACCTACTCTCGCAACATCATGAGACTCCCACTCTTCTACAAACCACAACTACACTTCGCTCTCACAGCTGCCGGGTGTGAGTTAAGGGGGCCGGGGGGGGGGGGGGCTTCTAGAAACCACAACTACACACAGCTCTCACAGCTGCCGGGTGTGAGTTAAGGGGGCCAGGGGGGGCTTCTAGAAACCACAACTACACACAGCTCTCACAGCTGCCGGGTGTGAGTTAAGGGGGCTGGGGGGGGGGGGGGGTCATTGTCTCTCTTTAACTATCTCCTACACTAATACTACCACTCACTTGCTCTTTTATAAACACTTCTACTACCACTCACTTGCTTTAGTTTCTTATTAACATAATATTAAGATATGTAATGTATGTTCTACTACCACTTACTTGGTTTAGTTTCTTATTAACGTGTTATTAAGATAATATGTAATGTGTGCTCTACTACCAGGTTTGATTGGTTCCTACTGCTCTAAAACAGAGGATAGGTTCAACCTTTGGGTTAACCACATCTACGAGGTTTCATCTTTTAATTTCCATTGACATTAGTATATATTATGACCTTTAGTGTAAATCTGTCCATGGATCTATATTAGCATCCTCCAACACAGTAACAGTTAGTCAACTATTTACTTTAATTATTAACAGTATGATTCATGAATATTGCTAATTTTATTATATATTTATAACTTTATTAACCCCTATACTACTCACTACTCAGGTACCAGAAGATGCCCCACTCTGGATTCAGCGCAAACTGAAAGCGAGGGTAGACAAAGTGGACCTGTTAAACAAGATAGCTGAGGAGCTGCCGGAGGAGATGAAGATGACTCCTTACTGGGAGAAACGTTTAGAAACAGCCATGGCTGGAAACAAATGAGCGTAGTGATTAAGTTATAATTTGGGGAGCTGATTATACTGACTGTGATATGAGATTAGGTTGATTAAATAGTAAACACAGTGTTACGAAACGACTGATTGTTCAGGTCGACAAATCTTAAGATTCATTATGTTATCGTGTTTTCGATCATACTTGCATTTGCATATCTTTTTGATGTCCTGATGCTTTTAAAGCTTCAATAGTTCAACTTCAAGAGTACTATTTTCTTGGTCTAGTGACGAATTCTTACTTATTATTTATTATAGTTCCACTCTATGTAAGAGTTCCCAAGTTATGAAACGTTTTATTGAAATCGATCCTCACATCTTGAAAATTGTCGAATGAATTTCTTAAATAGATTAAAAATCATTTTATGATTTCACACCCTTTTCGAATATTTCGGCTTCTGTTTCACTAAAATTAGTAGTTACTTGTGTGATGTGTCTTAAGTGGGTCCCTGAGCGATTAAAATACCTTAAAATAATCGTTTTGTATAGATCAATCTTAATTTTCTCTACAGGTAATTGCATATAACTATAAGTTTTTGTGGGAGTCGAAAGATTTAACAGTGATTGTTTAGTTGATTGTGTATTATATGCGAGTGAGTTAAATAAGAAGCTCTGCAGGACATGACCAGTACTGAGTACACTAATTCTGAGGCGGCTAAGCAGGGTAAGAAGTTATAGTTAGGGACAATAAGGGGGGGGGGGGGGGGAGGTGCCACGTCCCCCCAATAAGCATGAATATAGAACCACCTGGGAACTAATTTGCCGCAATAATTTCTATACAGGAATGGGGGGGGGGGGGGGGGGGGTTCTGTGACTAATTATATCCCAATTTATCGCCCACTTAGAATATTATCAAAGTTTGCGAAGCCAAAAATCAGTTTTTGCTAATAATTTGAAAAGTAAGTGTTGCTAGTTGCGCCTATTTTTCAGAAGTCTGTTACAATACAAACGAAAGTTTGACCCAAAAATTAACAAAAACTACTAATGATTTTCAATTTTTTCCAAAACTTGATTACAGTAAATAAAATATCACTTTCAAACTCTCACTAGCTTGCCATTATGTGACTATTGCGGTCATTATTCCGCACCTGTTGAGCTACTGCCTTCCTAATGGCAGAAACAATTTTCTCTAGCTAGTTATGCCCTATCAGTCATCAGATCTTCTTTGTGGTAGTTCCTGGGATTAGGACAACACATTCCTGCACAGAAATTATTGTGGCAAATTATTCCTCAGAAAATATTTATAATGCCCTAACTATTATTATTTTATCTTACTATAGTAAGGCGGCTCTGCGCTCCTCCTTACTATAGTCTATACTATTAAAAAAGTTGACTTATGAACCAAATTATTAATTTACAGCAAATATGGTATTTGTCATTTAAACTCAAACGTTACAACGTTTGGGTTTGATTCAAGTTATTATAAGCACAAATATTCCTCAGATTTTGAGAAGAGCTTGTCGAGTTCCACCCCAAAACACTCAGCCAGCGTGAGATCACGCAAGACTGGCTCTGTGGCATCTGACACTGAAAACTCCACTTTCTACAAAGAGGTTAATTAGTTCATTTAGCACAGTACTCAGCAAACATAGTAGTAATATAGTTAGTACTACAGTACTAATAGCTCCAGGCACCCCAGTTGTTATTCCCTTTATCAGCACTATACACTGTATAGAATACAGTGCACTATACAGTGCTCTACTCGAGATCAAGGAGCAAGGTAAAGAACAAATGAAACAAAGTTCAACTTTAAGTTTTATACTTCAATGGTTGAACTGCAGCAATAGTCAGGAACTATTATATATTCTCTTATCAGGTTCTCCCAGACCAGTACCACTGATCTCTATTATATCTCTTATCAGGTTCTCCCAGACCAGTACCACTGATCTCTCATCTATATATCTCTTATCAGGTTCTCCCAGACCAGCCAGAGACAGAATGGGAGAGATGGATTCTGAGGAAAGCTAAGGAGCTGTCTTTCTCTCAGGAGCGTGAAAAAGAGAATAGAAAAGAGGAGCGAAGAAAAAGAAGGGAACTTAAACGTGCAAACCGTGATAAGTTGAAGATGCAGGAGAAAGTTATAGAAGATTGGAAGGCTAAGAAATTGGAAGAACACAAGGAAAGAGTAGTGGCAGAACTTGAGAAACAGAGAGAAGACAAAGAAAAGAAGGCTTTTGAGAAAGAGGAAATACTGGAGAAATCAGTTTTAGCTCGAAAGGAATGGAAACAGATAAAAACCGAAAAATTAAAGTATTGTGAAGCTAAAAAAATTGCCGAGGAAGAAAAATTAGCTCGTTTGAAGGAAGAACGGAGGATAAAAGCGAAACAGAAATACGAAGATTGGTTAAAAAACCACCAACCAGTACCCTCCAATAAACCAGCTAACAGGCCTAAGACTTTGTCAGATGTGTACAGCAGTCCAACAAGTAGACCAAACACAGCGCCTTGGGTCAATGGGACTGATATTTCTTATGAGAAGGTTAAAGTTCTGTACACGCCCTTTTTATAAGGGTGATATCCAGGACTATTAAAAAATCACACTGTACATAATATATATAACATAATATTATATAATATACTCAAATGTGTTACCTGTTTTGCAAAGTGTTAAAACTAGGAGCTATTCATAAAGCAGTTCAAAGTAAACGATCAACGTAATCGCCCAACTTTAAGTTTCATGTGTAACAATCATCAGGGACATAAATACAATCGAAATAACAAAAATTATAATGATATTATTATTTATATTATTTTTGTAATAATAATATTATAATGTAAATAATAATATTACTGTTACACATGAAACTTAAAGTTGGACGATTACGTTGATCGTACCGCTTTATTTACAATATACTCTGTATATTAAAAGAGTGGGTTAGTTAGTTAGGGTATATTCAAAAAGAGTGGGGTAGTTAGAGTGGGGTAAAGAGTTGGATCTGGTTTATAATATTATGGTAAAACACTGAATGTATCGCATTTCCCTAGTTACTAATTTCCCTAATTACTACTGAAACATTTCTTTAACGCTGAACTGAGGCTGCAAGCATTGATATTTCAAACTAATGGAATCGAACGTTATAACACTAATACATTTAACAGTTTTGGAATATCCAATATACTACAGATTAAAGATAATTTCATATTCTATCGTAACAAAATCTAAAATTGTTTGATTTTTAGAGTGGGGCGGTTATGACTTAATTAATGTTCTTTGTGTGTCCACTGTATATATGTATAATGTGAAGAGTACTATCTAACCATAGTAGAGGTTATATGAACCGAACATAGTACTACACTATGTAATATATACTAGCTCAAGTACAATTCTTGTTATTTTATTAACCCAGATTACACATCATGTAAATTTATATTGAAAACTTATCAGATATTTTGATTTTAACACGCATTTGTGATATATCACATGCAATGACAAGAACATTTCCAGCAAGTATTATTTGTTAGGAGAGCCAGATGACACTTTACTATAAAGAATAAACATGTTTGTTGTTTTATGCTGCATTGTAAATAACTTTTTCTCACAAATACGCTCCGTTTTTTGTGTCTATTAAGTAAAATCAACATAATGCGAGATTGATTTGTCATATTCGTCTGTTCTTTCAAAACTTAATTCTTGAAATTACTTCAATTTACAATCTAATTTGTGACACCTAGCTAACTTAACAAAGTTTAGCGTTAGTTAAAATGACAGTTATCGGGGAAACACACCCCTTTGTCTCAGTGGGAGCTCAGCCGGAACAAGCCTTCAAATCAGAGATATCACCTGATAACACCTGGCAAACCATATCGAAAGAGAAAGCAGAAAGTGAAACTCTGCTTGGTGGTGAATATAAAGATGTGTTTGGTGTGTTACAAGGGAGGAACATGGTGTTTTGTGTAGACTGTAGTGGTAGTATGTACGAGCATCTGCCCATCATCATACACCAGTTATACGAGGTGGGCACAATGAGTATTATTATTAGTAACAGTTTAATAGAGTCAATCTCTTCAAGACTCCTCCTGAAAATGAATATTATTATTAGTAACAGTTTAATAGAGTCAATCTCTTCAAGACTCCTCCTGAAAATGAATATTATTATTAGTAACAGTTTAATAGAGTCAATCTCTTCAAGACTCCTCCTGAAAATGAGTATTATTATTAGTAATAGTTTAATAGTCAATCTCTTCAAGACTCCTCCTGAAAATGAGTATTATTATTAGTGATACTTTAATAGAGTCAATCTCTTATGACAAACTATGACAATATACGACAAGATTTGACAACATATGACAATATACGACAATACATGACAATATACGACAAGATTTGACAATATACGACAATATATGACAGTATACGACAAGATTGACAATATGTGACAAACCGTGGGAAAATGGGCACTCTCGGACCTCGGTCCCTGTCCCTCCTGGAGCCTCCCCCCTCCTGGAGCCCCCCCCCTCCTGGAGCCCCCCTCCGGGCGCCTCGCCTCCTGGAGCCTTCCCTCCTGGAGCCTCCCCTCCTGGAGGCTCCCCTCCTGGAGCCCCCTCCTGGAGCCCCCCTCCTGGAGCCTCGCCTCCTGGAGCCTCCCCTCCTCGAGCCTCCCCTCCTGGAGCCCCCCCTCCTGGAGCCCCCCTCCTGGAGCCTCCCCTCCTGGAGCCCCTCCCTCCTGGAGCCCCCCTCCTGGAGCCTCCCCTCCTGGAGCCCTTCTCCTGGAGCCCCCCCTCCTGGAGCCCCCCTCCTGGAGCCCCCTTCCTGGATATATTGACTGTTCTCTAAACATAATGTTACAGGTATTAAAAGAGCGCCTAATGCAAGACATGGTAACGAAGTGTTCCACACAGTTCAATATAATAGCATTCAGTACTCTGGGGAGGAGGTACAGCGAGGAACCTGTCACTCTCAGTCAGCAGTCTCTTCAGAGTGCCTACACTTGGCTCAGGTTAGTAGTTCGTACTAGCGCACTTGGGTAATTTCATTCTCCTGATAATTTTATAAAGTTATAAGGAAAACAAAATGATGTTTCACCCTTGGTTGATGAAATAATTAAATTATATGGTTGCGGGGATACACTCATTGTGAGCCCAGGTAAGGCATGTTACAGGTGATCAGGTTTGTAGATGTTACAGGTGACCAGGTTTGTAGATGTTACAGGTGACCAGGTTTGTAGATGTTACAGGTGACCAGGTTTGTAGATGTTACAGGTGACCAGGTTTATAGATGTTTCTGATAATTGTAACTACAGGAACCTAGAAACTGAGACTAGCAGTAACACACTAGACGCACTGTTACAAGCCTTCTCTGACTGCACAGTGGACACAGTGTACCTGGTTACAGATGGACTCCCTGACCAGCGGCCTGCCCTGGTGGTCGAGTGCGTGTTACGCAACAACAGGGGGAGACCCATAGTATCAGTCAGTATTGGAGCTGGCAGTAACGGTAACGCTGACTTGCTGCTGACTGACCTGGCATCAGTTACAGGTCAGTTCACTGTTTCTCTATACTTATGCGTGTGTACATAGTGTAAGCTTACATTCAGTTTCTGATGCAGATTGAACTTCCGTATGCTTTCTTACTGCCTCAGTAAGCAAGAGAATTATTATTATCTGGTAGTTTCTCTGTATTCTAGGTTCTAAGTGGTAACTATATAAATAAATTAGAAACATTTTGAAATCTTTAAAAAATATGTAGCATTTAGGCTTAAATAGTGTAATTTGGTTTAGCTAAGAGTTGTTTGCAAGCAAACTCGTATAATGCATGCTTGCGTGTTTTTAGAAGCGTGCAGAACTTGAACTTACAATGAACACAGCAAAACAGAGCAGAGGCCTCTGCCATACAGAATGAGTAAAGAGCAAATTAGGGTAATTTATGTCGACCAAGTTGATGAAGGTCACATTTTGATAAATTCAGTAATTGTGGAAGTTTCTCCACTATACTTACTTAATTCTGCTTTACCTCAATCTGCAACAATCGGGGGCTATTTCTTACTTACTTGTACTTGAAAAGGTCTCCTCCTAGTCGTTGGAGTGGCCTGCACCACATAGTAACTCCTTTCTCCGGTGTATTAGACCTCTCCAGTGAACCCTGTCTGTAGCTTGTTGTTCTGCATCTTCTATCGTGATGTTATCGACACCTGTGAAGATTGCTGCATCCTCCCGGACACATGACAACCAGTTTTTCCGAGGTCTACCTCTCGACCTTTTACCATGCTTTGGGATCCAGTGCAGAAGATAGTTGGGTATTCTTTCTTCTGGCATCCTCACCACATGGCCAAACCATCGGAGTCTAGCTGCTCGTACGAAAGTATCAACAGGGGCGATGTTAGCCCGCTTAAGTACATCAGCATTAGATACATGATAAAACCATTTGATTTTCAGGATTCTCCTCAGACATCTATGATGGAACACTTCAAATCTTTTCATCTGCGTCTGTGTGGTATTCCATACCTCACTTCCATAAAGCAGTATAGTGAGAACAGCCGCTTTGTAAATCCTGATTTTAGTTGGAGTCTTAATGCTGCGACTGTACCATATACTGCTGAGCTGATAGAATGCCCCAGAGGCCTTTTGAATTCGAGCTGACAGTTCTTTGTCAATTGTTCCATTCGCACTGATGATTGCACCCAAGTAAGTGAAATTGCTGACCTGCTGTATTGGGAGATGATATTTCACGTCTTTGTAATGTGTTATCTATATAATATAATTAAAGTCATTATTGTAACGGTATATTAGAACCAGACATTCACCGAGTTCGCCAAGGATGGGCACATAGTTCACTCCACAAGATGCTCTGTCAAATTTTGCTTATATACCAAGCATCTACAGGAAAAATTCCTTGTAAAAATCTTTTTCCAGTTTTCACATAATATTTGATCAGACTTGCTGGAGACGAACGAGAAGGAAAAAAAAACAGACCGAAATTTGACCTTATGTTTTTGAGGCCAAATATTGAGGTTAACCTGTAATTACATGTTAAACTTAACTTAAACTTAAAAAGGTAAACCTCCTTTCGGGAAAAGACTGGCCACAACCAGGAGCTGAAACTTTAAGGACAAAGGCAAAAATCAAAATTCGCGATATCTCATAAACACAAGCTCAGATTTGTGCAGTGGCATAACGTTGCGCCCCCACCGAAAAAGTGCCCCCTTGTTGGCGCCTTTTTGCGCCCTCCCTAAAATTTAACAAATTAGGAGATTAGGTAATTTTAGAGGATACACTGTTAAAAAGTGTGTTTCTAGAGTGTTTAGCTAGTACCTCAGTTAAGTTTTTCGAAATTGTCCCACATTTAAACGACGATTTGGCGTCCCCTTAAGATGGCGCCCTCCTGCAGAGCGGGGTCAGCGGGGCCCTTCGTTACACCACTGGCACTAAGAATTAAATTGCGTTATGTTTGGATTGAGCGAGTTACTTTCGCACCGGTTTAACTACGAAAATGTAATAATGCGTGTTTTCGAATACTATAATAGGCATTAGGCGGGTTTATACTTTTGCATTTCAACTGCGATAGTGAAGTCCCGGCCGAAGGCACGGGTTACACTAGTTCTTCTATAATTTTTAGGATTTAGATTTACTATTTTACCATTATTCAGTTCATGTGTAATCCCATGATTATTCTTTTACTTAACTTACCAGGAACACAGTCGTTATTTCGCAGAAATGCTGAAATATTTTCGTTTTTGTAGCGCGCGAAAACGTTTTACTGAATCATCAAACATTCTAATGCGCGCGCGCTCGAAAATATTAAGTAGAAATCAGTAAGAAATCTTTTGAGGTAGTTCCGGATGTCCTAGCTCGCGTGGCAACCATGCCCATAATAGCTTCATTTTTCTTCACCCAATAATCCCAAATCGCCTTAACATGTCAAAAACCAAGCTGAGTGTTTCACTTGTAGCTAGTGGTCTTCTTCCATGAAATTTAATTCCAGATTGAATTCGCAACCTCATTTACTAACTTTCATTGTAACATGGTTATCACTGCTATTAGCTATACTGAATCTATTCAGGAAAAAGAAACATTGAGCTACTTTCTAACTCCCTTTCACCCACACGTCATTCTTTCAGAAAGTGCTGATTTTGGCTTGTTTTGTTTACCAAGAATCATTTTAATCATTTTAAAATACTGTAGAATTTGACAATTCCAGTATTGTTATAATATAATTATAGTACAGTAAAACATCTATACTGGGTCTCTCGCGCGGGGGAAATAAAACTTGCAAGATATACAATACAGTATGGAGAAGGTCACCTCATCCCAATCTGTACATACGTCATACATACATGCTACACTGTTTGCTTATCCCAATCTTTTGCCTCACAAATAAATTATCAATGTATTATAGAGAAAAAAGAAGCCCGGTATATCGAGGTACCCGGCATAGAGACTAGAGAGGTTCGACTGTACATATTTTCTCAGGTCAATTTATCGACTCAATTGAAAAGCGTTTTGTTCTGATTAAAATAAGTTATTACTAAAATTTTTATTACTAAAATGTGAACATTAAATCATGTTTTTCTGTTAAATTGCTCAGTTTTGTGCCCAATAATCGTAACAAATTCTCACTGTTGAATATAACAGATTTTTGCAAAAATGGACATAATCTCTGGAAAGCAAACCAACCATCAAAGGTCCTGTGCTCAATAGTCAGTTACGCCACTGAGTCACCAAGTCTCTTAACCTCTTCTCCTCATCTACAAGAGCCTTCTCATGGCTCTGTCGTTGTGTTTCCTCATCTTGTCCAGCACCTCCTGTTCTGATACCTGTTTCGTTATCTTGAACTGATACTCCAGCTTGTTGTCTAACTTCATCGCTAAACTGTTCCCACATCTCCCGCAGTTTGCTTTGTCAGCTCTGAAAATAGTATTGGTAACTTTTATCTGAGAATACCATATTAAGCATTATAATATATATTAAGCATTATAATATAATTAAATTAGAACCCAGTTGTATTGACTATTGTGTATTGGTATTACTAATACTAGCAGGAACCCGTATAACCCTAAAATGGTGTCAAGACTCAAGAGACTAAAATAATTATACCTATTTAATTTGCGTTTTTGACACCACTTGGGGGTCCAAATTTTGGGCTCTAAAACTCCTATTCCTTGGCCAATTTTTTATTTTTTCATGCTGATTTGGAGGCCATTAAAGCATTTGACCCAGTCAAAAAAAGTTTCAGTTGTATATCTTTTACGGTTTTTGCGGAAAGTCGCGTTAAAGTTGATGCCGTGGTGTCAGTAAAATGGTACGGATAAACACATCCATATATATCGTCTCGCTTTATATATAGTAAGATTGGTTACTAATTTAGTAACCTGTGTCTGTAAATAGAACCCAGCTGCCCGCAGATCAGGCACTCCACCTCCAGTATGTGGACAGCTGGTGACTTGTTCTTTGTAAGGCACTCTCTGTAGGGCAGTCTAAAATCGTGCTCCTTTTTCACCGGTACTACCTGTAGACATCCCAAATATATAGACATCCCAAATATATACCGGTACTACCTGTAGACATCCCAAATATATACAGGTACTACCTGTAGACATCCCAAATATATACAGGTACTGCCTGTAGACATCCCAAATATATACAGGTACTACCTGTAGACATCCCAAATACATATAGAATTTTGATGAAGACCCCCCCGGCCCCCTTAACTGCAACAATAACCCCACCAGATTAGAAGTATCATTAACTGCAACAATAACCCCACCAGATTAGAAGTATCATTAACTGCAACAATAACCCCACCAGATTAGAAGTATCATTAACTGCAACAATAACCCCACCAGATTAGAAGTATCATTAACTGCAACAGCCTCCTCCTCCTCATATCTCTTCCTAAAGTTAACGGGACTCAGTCTCAAGTCCAGTTCTCCCGGATCCTGTTTGGCAGGTGCTGAGGTACAGAGATAGTTTCTATCGTGCCTAGGGAGAGAGTATAGCGTTACCATGGTTACATGTTACTACATAATAATGTGACATTGTACCTGTTAAATTGTCGGGTGGCTGGTTGTGACATTGTACCTGTTAAATTGTCGGGTGGCTGGTTGTGACATTGTACCTCTTAAATTGTCGGGTGGCTGGTTGTGACATTGTACCTCTTAAATTGTCGGGTGGCTGGTTGTGACATTGTACCTGTTAAATTGTCGGGTGGCTGGTTGTGACATTGTACCTGTTAAATTGTCGGGTGGCTGGTTGTGACATTGTACCTCTTAAATTGTCGGGTGGCTAGTTGTGACATTGTACCTTTTAAATTGTCGGGTGGCTGGTTGTGACATGCTCTTCAAGTAGCTTCCTTGTGTCAGAGACTTGCCGAATATCTTAGTAGTCCCTGTCAGGAGTAAGGGACCTCTGTTTGCAGCGCGTGTCTGGTTGGAGATATCCTTACTGCTCTGCAAATTGTGGCTTTTAAGAAATAGCAACCTAGCGAAGGTAATAAAGAAAACAATGACCCAAATAAAAGCTTATCTATAGAGGTTATGATTTAGTCATGCAGACGTATTAAAAGAAAATTTGAAGTATCTCTAGACACTGGTGTGCATGTCAACAGCGAGATAAAACAAAGTCGACCATTGATTTACTTGGTAAACCTAGACTACAAGGTGTAGTGTGTGACTATACTACTACAGGGTGTACTGTACTGTACAACCTTTTAAACGATAATTTGAAGTAGGGTGTTAAAACTCCGATCTAAAATTGTTGTAGGGTGTGTACCTGTGTAAGTAGGGTGTGTACCTGTGTAAGAAGGTTTGCATCTGTGTAAGTAGGGTGTGTACCTGTGTGAGTAGGGTGTGTACCTGTGTGAGTAGGGTGTGTACCTGTGTGAGTAGGGTGTGTACCTGTGTGAGTAGGGTGTGTACCTGTGTAAGTAGGGTGTGTACCTGTGTAAGTAGGGTGTGTACCTGTGTGAGTAGGGTGTGTACCTGTGTGAGTAGGGTGTGTACCTGTGTGAGTAGGGTGTGTACCTGTGTGAGTAGGGTGTGTACCTGTGTGAGTAGGGTGTGTACCTGTGTGAGTAGGGTGTGTACCTGTGTAAGTAGGGTGTGTACTGTGTAAGTAGGGTGTGTACCTGTGTAAGTAGGGTGTGTACCTGTGTAAGTAGGGTGTGTAGTGTGTAAGTAGGGTGTGTACCTGTGTAAGTAGGGTGTGTAGTGTGTAAGTAGGGTGTGTACCTGTGTAAGTAGGGTGTGTACCTGTGTAAGTAGGGTGTGTACCTGTGTAAGTAGGGTGTGTACCTGTGTAAGTAGGGTGTGTACCTGTGTAAGTAGGGTGTGTAGTGTGTAAGTAGGGTGTGTACCTGTGTAAGACTGGCAATGGTTCTCCGTATCTCATTAGACATGCTCACACACACTAACGAATCAGTCAGCTGCGAGGAATGGTACTTTATCTGGTGTTTAGGGTTGTCTTTAGTCCATATCTCGTGAGTCTGAACAAACCTAGTGGAACAATAACTAGCAATATGTTCTCTTAAGTGTTATAAGGGGCCGGGGGAGGGGGGGGGGGGTTTAGCGTTATATAATTATCAGATTCATAAGATTTGTATATTTTAAAACCCTTGCTACTACTACTACTAGGTAACCCTTGCTCGCATCTTAATATTATGTGAATAACTTGAAAGGCGGTTATCTTATTTCCGGCGTTACTTACCCTTTCTGAGTTGCATGGTCATGTATATGAAAGCGGACGCTTAGTTTCGCCATGAAAACTCTCACAGATGGAACTAGGAGCAAGTAGCAATTATACTTTAAACAAAACTACGAACTTGTGTATTAATCGAAATCTAAGAACTTGTGTATTAATATAAATCTAATATCACGACGACCTTATTATACTAGTACGAACGAAATACAGATTGCAGTCGAAATACAGATTGCAGTCAAAGTGATAGCTGCTTAGTGCTTATCGGCTCAATAATATTTAGTATTTATATAATATTTAATATTTATATAATATTTAATATTTGTATAGTATTTAATATTTATATGATATTTAATATTTATATAATATTTAATATTTATATAATATTTAATATTTATAAAACCACACATAATATTATGTTACTATTAAATACAATACGATCGATGTAAAATCGATTGTTTTAAACTGTTTATCAAACTGTTTATAAACTCTCTACAGTGCAAGTGGTCAGTGTTAACTGTTAATATATCTTATACGGACCATTTATAGCAAGAAATTAAATAATGAGGCTTAACTATTCAGCATTTTAGCATAATTACAGAGAAGAGCCAATTATTTAAACAGTTTTATTTTAAACTGTCATAACTCCGGTTATCCGAGCTACTATTATATGTACGCGGGGGAGTTGGTTAGGTCATCAGCAAAATAAACAATAACAACACTATGATTTTTAATTCAATATTATGTCATTAAAATTCTTTTTTTAAATGTTCAGTCCTAATAAGGGCATCATGTAAGGTGATATAACCACACAATACCTATAACATTGTATAGAGAAATTTCTAGACCTTTCAAAATCCCTCCCTCCCTCCCTCCCTCCCTCCCTCCCTCCCTCCCTAAATCCCTCCCTCCCTCCCTCCCTCCCTCCCTCCCTCCCTCCCTCCCTCCCTCCCTCCCTCCCTCCCTCCCTCCCTCCCTCCCTCCCTCCCTCCCTCCCTCCCTCCCTCCCTCCCTCCCTCCCTCCCTCCCTCCCTCCTTCCCGTATCGAAGATCCACCCTTGCCGTACTTATACCTGTTATGAGCAGAGGGTATAGGAGGTAGTTCTATCCCGTGAGAGTTGTAGATATTCCTAATAAGGGCATCACGTGAAGTGACGTCACCGTACATCTGACTAGGTGGGAGGTGTTGGTACTGCAGGGATATTATGCTCATTCTGTGCGGTAAATTACATGTATTTACTTATAGTTGTGGAAACTATACAATTGTAATATTGTATGTTGTTAAAACAAGCAGATTAGGGATCGATTGTCAGTAATGGATCACTATGTAAAAACAATTTTTAACAGTTTAATTCTCCTGCTTATTAAATCATTTGAATCATATTCCAGAAGGACTACTGAACAACAGTTCTAAAATAGTTCAAAAATCTACAAGTCAATCAAAGATATTATAAGAAGAAGATCAAACAATAAACATGTGTTACTGGTTGTATTTTACTGTTGTAATTTAGAAAGATGCTTTTTAAAATAGCCCCGACAAGCAAAAAGTCAAAAACGACTAGATAACTGTTTGATTGATTGATGAAGAGGCTGTCACGTGCTATAAGATATACACAATATATAACAACATAGTGCGCTGCATGATATGTGTCTCAACAAAGGAATATTAACTGCTCCTCAAACTACATGGTTGCTTTGGGTTGAGTACTAATAGTGATCTCTGAAAGCAAATTAAACAACCTTTTCACACGTAACACAGATGCGTGCCTTCCCAGACCTGTTAGTCACGTGACCAACTTGTTATCGTGCATTATTAGATCCCTCCACACACTCGTCATGCTCAAACTCAGTCACTTTCTTGTCCAGTAAACATTGTGAGCACAGGGCGTATTACTTGTCATCCTGATAATGGTGGGTAACACACTGAGTTTGAATCTTGAAACTCTGTTTAAATATTTTATCAAATCGAGAACATTTCCTATTTAAATTTTGTATGAGCATATGAAGGAGTAAAAGCAAGCAAACAGTATCTAGTCGTACAGTACGCTGCATGTTGTAAATCTAAAATTCCCATCGAAATGATTGGGGAGCATGTTAAACCATACTAAATGGTCAGAGATAGATTGTGTTCTCAGATCAATGGACGAGGGAACAACCACAGCGAGGGAACAACCACAGCGAGGGAACAACCACAACGAGGGAACAACCACAACGAGGGAACAACCACAACGAGTGTTAGGCACGAGTGTGCCTAATAATAAGTGTGCCTAATAATAAGTGTGCCTAATAATAAGTGTGCCTAATAATAAGTGTGCCTAATAATAAGTGTGCCTAATAATAAGTGTGCCTAATAATAAGTGTGCCTAATAATAAGTGTGCCTAATAATAAGTGTGCTTAATAATAAGTGTGCCCAATAATAAGTGTGCCTAATAATAAGTGTGCCTAATAATAAGTGTGCCTAATAATAAGTGTGCCTAATAATAAGTGTGCCTAATAATAAGTGTGCCTAATAATAAGTGTGCCTAATAATAAGTGTGCCTAATAATAAGTGTGCCTAATAATAAGTGTGCCTGATAATAAGTGTGCCTAATAATAAGTGTGCCTAATAATAAGTGTGCCTAATAATAAGTGTGCCTAGTTATAAGTGTGCCTAATAATAAGTGTGCCTAGTAATAAGTGTGCCTAATAATAAGTGTGCCTAATAATAAGAGTGCCTTATAGTAAGAGTGCCTAATAGTAAGTGTGCCTAATAATAAGTGTGCCTAATAATAAGTGTGCCTAATAATAAGTGTGCCTAATAATAAGTGTGCCTAATAATAAGTGTGCCTAATAATAAGTGTGCCTAATAATAAGTGTGCCTAATAATAAGTGTGCCTAATAATAAGTGTGCCTAATAATAAGTGTGCCCAATAATAAGTGTGCCCAATAATAAGTGTGCCTAATAATAAGTGTGCCTAATAATAAGTGTGCCTAATAATAAGTGTGCCTAATAATAAGTGTGCCTAATAATAAGTGTGCCTAATAATAAGTGTGCCTAATAATAAGTGTGCCTAATAATAAATGACTCATCTTATTTCCTAACACGCTGATGTGAGATCATCGGCTCGAACTCAAGCAATTTAGAAATCTAAATTTAGATACAAATTTATTTAATGGTCTGGAATTGCATGAATTTAATTGTTAGAATCTTTTTATACTGCTAAGCAAACACAAAATATAAGTTGTGCACTTCTTTGGATTTGTAGGTCCCTCTGCACAGAAAAGGGAAATATAACGAACTGACGGTAACTCCTCCCGTTAAACTTACTATTTACCCTATATAATTAAAAGATCGTCACATAAAAACAAGGACCTAAACTAATAATAAATAAGCAGAATCTCTCAACCGTTACTACAATTAGAATACTCGTAATGTTTACAATTTATAGATACTGGACCACTATTGTCTCAGGTGGCTCCTTCAGACCGGTAACCTTGCCTCTAAAACTACCTGGTCCTGACGAACTGTCCGCACTACCTAAAGGAGCTGTAGTCCTGCTACATGGCGGAGTAACGGACAGGAACCTGGATACCTCCTATCTCAAACAGGAGAGCACTGATTTGAGGTGGTCCGGGGACATCCCATCTGCTTACCCTACAGGTGAGAGAACTGATTTGAGGTGGTATAGGGTATTTGCTGGTTTAGATGATAATTATTATTCCTTGTACTTTCACCCAATTAGTTACAAACCATTAGTAACCTGCATTATTAACAGTAAGAGAGCCGCCTCCCCCTGAGAAGGTAGTAAAGTTCCCGCTGACAGCTGCTGGCAGGTTGATGATGAGGAAGGTTGTGTTGGCAAGGAGCCCTCGGAGAGGCGACTATAACACTGCAGTTATCATAGACCAGGTAACCATAGTAACAGTGTTATAATAGATCAGGTAACCATAGTAACAGTGTTATCATAGATCAGGTAACCATAGTAACAGTGTTATCATAGATCAGGTAACCATAGTAACAGTGTTATCATAGACCAGGTAACCATGGTAACAGTGTTATCATAGATCAGGTAACCATAGTAACATTGTTATCATAGACCAGGTAACCATAGTAACTGTATTATCATAGACCAGGTAACCATGGTAACAGTGTTATCATAGATCAGGTAACCATGGTAACAGTGTTATCATAGATCAGGTAACCATAGTAACAGTGTTATCATAGATCAGGTAACCATAGTAACAGTGTTATCATAGACCAGGTAACCATAGTAACAGTGTTATCATAGATCAGGTAACCATAGTAACAGTGTTATCATAGACCAGGTAACCATGGTAACAGTGTTATCATAGATCAGGTAACCATAGTAACATTGTTATCATAGACCAGGTAACCATAGTAACAGTGTTATCATAGATCAGGTAACCATAGTAACAGTGTTATCATAGACCAGGTAACCATAGTAACTGTATTATCATAGACCAGGTAACCATGGTAACAGTGTTATCATAGATCAGGTAACCATGGTAACAGTGTTATCATAGACCAGGTAACCATAGTAACTGTATTATCATAGACCATGTAACCATAGTAACAGTGTTATCATAGATCAGGTAACCATAGTAACTGTATTATCATAGACCAGGTAACCATAGTAACAGTGTTATCATAGATCAGGTAACCATAGTAACTGTATTATCATAGATCAGGTAACCATAGTAACTGTATTATCATAGACCAGGTAACCATAGTAACAGTGTTATAATAGATCAGGTAACCATAGTAACTGTATTATCATAGACCAGGTAACCATAGTAACAGTGTTATCATAGATCAGGTAACCATAGTAACTGTATTATCATGGACCAGGTAACCATAGTAACAGTGTTATCATAGACCAGGTAACCATGGTAACTGTATTATCATAGATCAGGTAACCATAGTAACAGTGTTATCATAGATCAGGTAACCATAGTAACTGTATTATCATAGACCAGGTAACCATAGTAACAGTGTTATCATAGATCAGGTAACCATAGTAACTGTATTATCATAGATCAGGTAACCATAGTAACAGTGTTATCATAGATCAGGTAACCATAGTAACTGTATTATCATAGACCAGGTAACCATAGTAACTGTATTATCATGGACCAGGTAACCATAGTAACAGTGTTATCATAGACCAGGTAACCATGGTAACTGTATTATCATAGATCAGGTAACCATAGTAACAGTGTTATCATAGATCAGGTAACCATAGTAACTGTATTATCATAGACCAGGTAACCATATTAACAGTGTTATCATAGATCAGGTAACCATAGTAACTGTATTATCATGGACCAGGTAACCATAGTAACAGTGTTATCATAGACCAGGTAACCATGGTAACTGTATTATCATAGATCAGGTAACCATAGTAACAGTGTTATCATAGATCAGGTAACCATAGTAACTGTATTATCATAGACCAGGTAACCATAGTAACAGTGTTATCATAGATCAGGTAACCATAGTAACTGTATTATCATGGACCAGGTAACCATAGTAACAGTGTTATCATAGACCAGGTAACCATGGTAACTGTATTATCATAGATCAGGTAACCATAGTAACAGTGTTATCATAGATCAGGTAACCATAGTAACTGTATTATCATAGACCAGGTAACCATAGTAACAGTGTTATCATAGATCAGGTAACCATAGTAACTGTATTATCATAGATCAGGTAACCATAGTAACAGTGTTATCATAGATCAGGTAACCATAGTAACTGTATTATCATAGACCAGGTAACCATAGTAACAGTGTTATCATAGATCAGGTAACCATAGTAACTGTATTATCATGGACCAGGTAACCATAGTAACAGTGTTATCATAGACCAGGTAACCATGGTAACTGTATTATCATAGATCAGGTAACCATAGTAACAGTGTTATCATAGATCAGGTAACTATAGTAACTGTATTATCATAGACCAGGTAACCATAGTAACAGTGTTATCATAGATCATGTAACCATAGTAACTGTATTATCATAGACCAGGTAACCATAGTAACAGTATTATCATAGATCAGGTAACCATAGTAACAGTGTTATCATAGATCAGGTAACCATAGTAACAGTATTATCATAGACCAGGTAACCATGGTAACATTGTTATAATAGATCAGGTAACCATAGTAACTGTATTATCATAGATCAGGTAACCATAGTAACAGTGTTATCATAGACCAGGTAACCATAGTAACAGTATTATCATAGACCAGGTAACCATGGTAACAGTGTTATCATAGATCAGGTAACCATAGTAACTGTATTATCATAGATCAGGTAACCATAGTAACAGTATTATCATAGACCAGGTAACCATGGTAACAGTGTTATCATAGACCAGGTAACCATAGTAACAATGTTATAATAGACCAGGTAACTATAGTAACAGTGTTATAATAGACCAGGTAACCATAGTAACAGTATTATCATAGACCAGGTAACTATAGTAACAGTGTTATCATAGATCAGGTAACCATAGTAACAATGTTATAATAGATCAGGTAACCATAGTAACAGTATTATCATAGACCAGTTAACCATGGTAACAGTATTATCATAGACCAGTTAACCATAGTAACAGTGTTATCATAGATCAGGTAACCATAGTAACTGTATTATCATAGACCAGGTAACCATGGTAACAGTATTATCATAGACCAGTTAACCATAGTAACAGTGTTATCATAGACCAGGTAACCATAGTAACAGTATTATCATAGACCAGGTAACTATAGTAACAGTGTTATCATAGATCAGGTAACCATAGTAACAATGTTATAATAGATCAGGTAACCATAGTAACAGTATTATCATAGACCAGTTAACCATGGTAACAGTATTATCATAGACCAGTTAACCATAGTAACAGTGTTATCATAGATCATGTAACCATAGTAACTGTATTATCATAGACCAGGTAACCATAGTAACAGTATTATCATAGATCAGGTAACCATAGTAACAGTGTTATCATAGATCAGGTAACCATAGTAACAGTATTATCATAGACCAGGTAACCATGGTAACATTGTTATAATAGATCAGGTAACCATAGTAACTGTATTATCATAGATCAGGTAACCATAGTAACAGTGTTATCATAGACCAGGTAACCATAGTAACAGTATTATCATAGACCAGGTAACCATGGTAACAGTGTTATCATAGATCAGGTAACCATAGTAACTGTATTATCATAGATCAGGTAACCATAGTAACAGTATTATCATAGACCAGGTAACCATGGTAACAGTGTTATCATAGACCAGGTAACCATAGTAACAATGTTATAATAGACCAGGTAACTATAGTAACAGTGTTATAATAGACCAGGTAACCATAGTAACAGTATTATCATAGACCAGGTAACTATAGTAACAGTGTTATCATAGATCAGGTAACCATAGTAACAATGTTATAATAGATCAGGTAACCATAGTAACAGTATTATCATAGACCAGTTAACCATGGTAACAGTATTATCATAGACCAGTTAACCATAGTAACAGTGTTATCATAGATCAGGTAACCATAGTAACTGTATTATCATAGACCAGGTAACCATGGTAACAGTATTATCATAGACCAGTTAACCATAGTAACAGTGTTATCATAGACCAGGTAACCATAGTAACAGTATTATCATAGACCAGGTAACCATAGTAACAGTATTATCATAGACCAGGTAACCATGGTAACAGTATTATCATAGACCAGGTAACCATAGTAACAGTGTTATCATAGACCAGGTAACCATAGTAACAGTATTATCATAGACCAGGTAACCATAGTAACAGTGTTATCATAGACCAGGTGCTTTCTCAATTCTACATCTTGTGTTGTTGTTGATTACCAATTATTATATTATACTATATATATAATATATATTATACCCAGTGTAGTGAACCCACTCGTCTAAGTGATGTAATCGATATTCATTGAACAAGTGTTAATTGAACAAACTTGTTATTTGAACAAACTTGTTAATTGAACAAGTGTTAATTGAACAAGTTTTAATTGAACAAGTGTTAATTGAACAAGTGTTAATTGAACAAGTGTTAATTGAACAAGACGTGTTAATTGAACAAGTGTTAATTGAACAAGACGTGTTAATTGAACAAGTGTTAATTGAACAAGTGTTAATTGAACAAGACGTGTTAATTGAACAAAATTGTTAATTGAACAAGTGTTAATTGAACAAACTTGTTAATTGAACAAACTTGTTAATTGAACAAACTTGTTAATTGAACAAGTGTTAATTGAACAAGACGTGTTAATTGAACAAAATTGTTAATTGAACAAGTGTTAATTGAACAAACTTGTTAATTGAACAAACTTGTTAATTGAACAAGTGTTAATTGAACAAGTGTTTATTGAACAAGTGTTAATTGAACAAGTGTTAATTGAACAAGTGTTAATTGAACAAGTGTTAATACAACAAGTGTTAATTGAACAAGTGTTAATTGAACAAGTGTTAATTGAACAAGTGTTAATTGAACAAGTGTTAATTGAACAAGTGTTAATTGAACAAGTGTTAATTGAACAAGTGTTACTTGAATAAACTTGTTAATTGAATAAACTTGTTAATTGAACAAGTGTTACTTGAATAAACTTGTTAATTGAATAAACTTGTTAATTGAATAAACTTGTTAATTGAATAAACTTGTTAATTGAATAAACTTGTCAATTGAACAAGTGTTAATTGAACAAGTGTTAATTGAACAACTGTTAATTGAACAAGTGTTAATTGAACAAACTTGTTAATTGAACAAACTTGTTAATTGAATATGTGGTTATCGAACAAGTGTGTTAATTAATTTAAATTTCAGCACAGTCCCACGTGTTTTGAAGTTGAGTTTAAGAAGAACCAGCAGAAGGAGAGATGTGAGCTTTGTCACATATTCGCACTACAAGATGCTCTCATGCACCCAGTCTTGAAAGGTAAGTCCTCCCTGCACTACAAGATGCTCTCATGCACCCAGTATTGAAAGGTAAGTCCTCCCCGCACTACAAGATGCTCTCATGCACCCAGTCTTGAAAGGTAAGTCCTCCCCGCACTACAAGATGCTCTCATGCACCCAGTCTTTAAAGGTAAGTCCTCCCCGCACTACAAGATGCTCTCATGCACCCAGCCTTGAAAGGTAAGTCCTCCCCTCGCTACAAGATGCTCTCATGCACCCAGTCTTGAAAGGTAAGTCCTCCCATCACTACAAGATACTCTCATGCACCCAGTCTTGAAAGGTAAGTCCTCCCCTCACTACAAGATGCTCTCATGCACCCAGCCTTGAAAGGTAAGTCCTTCCCTCACTACAAGATGCTCTCATGCACCCAGCCTTGAAAGGTAAGTCCTCCCCTCACTACAAGATGCTCTCATGCACCCAGCCTTGAAAGGTAAGTCCTCCCCTCACTACAAGATGCTCTCATGCACCCAGACTTGAAAGGTAAGTCCTCCCCTCACTACAAGATGCTCTCATGCACCCAGTCTTGAAAGGTAAGTCCTCCCCTCACTACAAGATGCTCTCATGCACCCAGTCTTGAAAGGTAAGTCCTCCCCGCACTACAAGATGCTCTCATGCACCCAGCCTTGAAAGGTAAGTCCTCCCCTCGCTACAAGATGCTCTCATGCACCCAGTCTTGAAAGGTAAGTCCTCCCATCACTACAAGATACTCTCATGCACCCAGTCTTGAAAGGTAAGTCCTCCCCTCACTACAAGATGCTCTCATGCACCCAGCCTTGAAAGGTAAGTCCTTCCCTCACTACAAGATGCTCTCATGCACCCAGCCTTGAAAGGTAAGTCCTCCCCTCACTACAAGATGCTCTCATGCACCCAGCCTTGAAAGGTAAGTCCTCCCCTCTTAGGTCCCGTTCTTAGGTTTTACTGTACCAAATATTTATGTAATTAAATATTCTGTGAATTTTGCAGTGTACCAGATATTAAGATTAATTGTAGTTATTTATTTAAACAATTTGTTCTATTTATCAAGTAAGGAAAAACTAGGTTGAAGCATTAAATCAGATTCAAATATACAGAATACAAAGTAACAAAAACTAGAACCCCACCTGAGGGCGGGTCTCAAACAATGTTCAGCTTATAACCATGGTAAGAGTGTTCAGCTTGTATCTCCAGTCACTATAAAACGAACTGTCTCCTCTGTAACCATGGTAACAGTTTTCTACCAAGTTTGGTCCTCCTCCTCGGAGAGACCATGACTAAACCCTGCACGTGATCTGACGTTAGAGAGACGGGAGGAGGGGTAACCAATCAGAAGTCCCTCTTCACTGCTCTCTTCTATTCCCTCTACACTGTCCTCCTGACAAATGCAGTGTTACTAACATAACAGCATTTATACCAATAATTATTCATGTAAATTATTTACATACAATTACCGACTTATTTATCGAGACACCTGCTATATCGGGTAATATATCATAGGACTCAGAGATTGTTTCGAAATACGGGTATATTCGTAATTAGATGACTGTAAGTAATTACTAATGGAACTGTAACCAGGACAAGAAATAGTGGAGGCACTAACAATTTTAACCAAAGCAGTAGGCACTAACAATGGTTTTTCTACTATACCTCGTCCACAATAGAAGCGTTGATAAGAACAGTGGACAGGGCCAGGGTGAGTAGCAGGAGTCTGAACATGTTGTAGGGTCAGTAGAGTAGAATGTCTGGAAGCTGGGTGAATGGTAGTGCTCACCAACTCCACCAATGTCCTTTTATATCTACTCAATCGGACTATTTTTAATAAATTTGTCATTTTCCAGGAGATATTAGTTTCCATGCCGTTTAATATTGGACAAATTAATCCAAGGACCGTAATGAGAACGAGGCAGAGGATTGGAGGACTATACCACGTGTTCAGTATGATCCCCTCTCCCACCCTGGACAGGGGGTAAAGTGAAGTTTGGGAGGACCCTCACGTCCCCCTCCCACCCTCGACACCTACCTGACACTTTTAGGGGGCTACCTGACACTTTTAGGGGGCTACCACTGAAAATATTACCCCACGCACTAGACTGTTAGATTTTACAGGTCAGGTAGAAATTTAATTTTAGTAGATTGGAATATTGGTTTGCCGCTTTTAAAACATTTTATAATGTAGGGTGTTGCTCTAGGCAGTTCGCTCTGGCGAGTGTTGTAACTTTATTACCACGGTGGAGACAACTGATTTGTCTTACTTTCATAAAACTTGCAGTATGAGAGTTATATGTATTATAATCTAAACGAGTCTATAAAAAATAAAAGCATGCAATTTAGGCTGTGTGTAATTCATTACTTACCGGAATACTTAGGGAAAGTGGGAGTCTGAATAGAAACCATCATTTATACTGCTAGTTACTTCCTTACATCAATAACTAACAACATTACATTGCTGCTAGTTACTTCCTTACATCAATAACTAACAACATTACATTGCTGCTAGTTACTTCCTTACATCAATAACTAACAACATTACATTGCTGCTAGTTACTTCCTTACATCAATAACTAACAACATTACATTACTGCTAGTTACTTCCTTACATCAATAACTAACAACATTACATTACTGCTAGTTACTTCCTTACATCAATAACTAACAACATTACATTGCTGCTAGTTACTTCCTTACATCAATAACTAACAACATTACATTACTGCTAGTTACTTCCTTACATCAATAACTAACAACATTACATTGCTGCTAGTTACTTCCTTACATCAATAACTAACAACATTACATTGCTGCTAGTTACTTCCTTACATCAATAACTAACAACATTACATTGCTGCTAGTTACTTCCTTACATCAATAACTAACAACATTACATTGCTGCAAGTTACTTCCTTACATCAATAACTAACAACATTACATTGCTGCTAGTTACTTCCTTACATCAATAACTAACAACATTACATTGCTGCTAGTTACTTCCTTACATCAATAACTAACAACATTACATTGCTGCTAGTTACTTCCTTACATCAATAACTAACAACATTACATTGCTGCAAGTTACTTCCTTACATCAATAACTAACAACATTACATTGCTGCTAGTTACTTCCTTACATCAATAACTAACAACATTACATTACTGCTAGTTACTTCCTTACATCAATAACTAACAACATTACATTGCTGCTAGTTACTTCCTTACATCAATAACTAACAACATTACATTGCTGCTAGTTACTTCCTTACATCAATAACTAACAACATTACATTACTGCTAGTTACTTCCTTACATCAATAACTAACAACATTACATTGCTGCTAGTTACTTCCTTACATCAATAACTAACAACATTACATTACTGCTAGTTACTTCCTTACATCAATAACTAACAACATTACATTGCTGCTAGTTACTTCCTTACATCAATAACTAACAACATTACATTGCTGCAAGTTACTTCCTTACATCAATAACTAACAACATTACATTGCTGCTAGTTACTTCCTTACATCAATAACTAACAACATTACATTGCTGCTAGTTACTTCCTTACATCAATAACTAACAACATTACATTACTGCTAGTTACTTCCTTACATCAATAACTAACAACATTACATTGCTGCTAGTTACTTCCTTACATCAATAACTAACAACATTACATTACTGCTAGTTACTTCCTTACATCAATAACTAACAACATTACATTGCTGCTAGTTACTTCCTTACATCAATAACTAACAACATTACATTGCTGCAAGTTACTTCCTTACATCAATAACTAACAACATTACATTGCTGCTAGTTACTTCCTTACATCAATAACTAACAACATTACATTACTGCTAGTTACTTCCTTACATCAATAACTAACAACATTACATTGCTGCTAGTTACTTCCTTACATCAATAACTAACAACATTACATTACTGCTAGTTACTTCCTTACATCAATAACTAACAACATTACATTGCTGCTAGTTACTTCCTTACATCAATAACTAACAACATTACATTGCTGCTAGTTACTTCCTTACATCAATAACTAACAACATTACATTGCTGCTAGTTACTTCCTTACATCAACAACTAACAACATTACATTACTGCTAGTTACTTCCTTACATCAATAACTAACAACATTACATTGCTGCAAGTTACTTCCTTACATCAATAACTAACAACATTACATTGCTGCTAGTTACTTCCTTACATTGCTGCTAGTTACTTCCTTACATCAATAACTAACAACATTACATTACTGCTAGTTACTTCCTTACATCAATAACTAACAACATTACATTGCTGCTAGTTACTTCCTTACATCAATAACTAACAACATTACATTACTGCTAGTTACTTCCTTACATCAATAACTAACAACATTACATTGCTGCTAGTTACTTCCTTACATCAATAACTAACAACATTACATTGCTGCTAGTTACTTCCTTACATCAATAACTAACAACATTACATTGCTGCAAGTTACTTCCTTACATCAATAACTAACAACATTACATTGCTGCTAGTTACTTCCTTACATCAATAACTAACAACATTACATTGCTGCTAGTTACTTCCTTACATCAATAACTAACAACATTACATTGCTGCTAGTTACTTCCTTACATCAATAACTAACAACATTACATTGCTGCAAGTTACTTCCTTACATCAATAACTAACAACATTACATTGCTGCTAGTTACTTCCTTACATCAATAACTAACAACATTACATTACTGCTAGTTACTTCCTTACATCAATAACTAACAACATTACATTGCTGCTAGTTACTTCCTTACATCAATAACTAACAACATTACATTGCTGCTAGTTACTTCCTTACATCAATAACTAACAACATTACATTACTGCTAGTTACTTCCTTACATCAATAACTAACAACATTACATTGCTGCTAGTTACTTCCTTACATCAATAACTAACAACATTACATTACTGCTAGTTACTTCCTTACATCAATAACTAACAACATTACATTGCTGCTAGTTACTTCCTTACATCAATAACTAACAACATTACATTGCTGCAAGTTACTTCCTTACATCAATAACTAACAACATTACATTGCTGCTAGTTACTTCCTTACATCAATAACTAACAACATTACATTGCTGCTAGTTACTTCCTTACATCAATAACTAACAACATTACATTACTGCTAGTTACTTCCTTACATCAATAACTAACAACATTACATTGCTGCTAGTTACTTCCTTACATCAATAACTAACAACATTACATTACTGCTAGTTACTTCCTTACATCAATAACTAACAACATTACATTGCTGCTAGTTACTTCCTTACATCAATAACTAACAACATTTCATTGCTGCTAGTTACTTCCTTACATCAATAACTAACAACATTACATTGCTGCTAGTTACTTCCTTACATCAACAACTAACAACATTACATTACTGCTAGTTACTTCCTTACATCAATAACTAACAACATTACATTGCTGCAAGTTACTTCCTTACATCAATAACTAACAACATTACATTGCTGCTAGTTACTTCCTTACATTGCTGCTAGTTACTTCCTTACATCAATAACTAACAACATTACATTACTGCTAGTTACTTCCTTACGTCAATGACTAACAACATTTCTTCTAGTAACGATATTATTGGAGTATATAAATATATATGTAATGTATGTTAATAATCTTAATGTTTATTGAGATTTTTAATATAGATGTAAAGTGAGTAGAAATACGTAAGATTCCTGGCGATACAGTTCGTATTTTACAGAGCACAAAATTACAAATTATTATTAGAATTTCAGCCACTAAGATTTTTTATGGATTTTCAAAAAGTTGTCTCATAAATTAAAAAATGATTTCCAGCATCCGTAAAGTACGTAATGGTGATAATATGGCTGATCATCAGATCATGTGACTTCTATAACACAGTCTATAACACAGTCTATAACACAGTCTATAACACAGTCTATAACACAGTCTATAACACAGTCTATAACACAGTATATAACACAGTCTATAACACAGTCTATAGCACAGTCTATATCACAGTCTATATCATAGTCTATAACACAGTCTATAACACAGTCTATAACACAGTCTATAGCACAGTCTATAACACAGTCTATAACACAGTCTATAACACAGTATATAACACAGTCTATAACACAGTATATAACACAGTCTATAACACAGTCTATAGCACAGTCTATATCACAGTCTATAACACAGTCTATAACACAGTCTATAACACAGTATATATAACACAGTCTATAACACAGTCTATAACACAGTCTATAACACAGTCTATAACACAGTCTATAACACAGTCTATAACACAGTCTATAGCACAGTCTATAACACAGTCTATAAGTTCACAGATTTCAAACAAAGCTGAGAATGTTTTTAATAATTTATTTACCTACCCAATTCTGGAGGATATGAAATAATAATAATAAAAGGAGGAGTCCTGATCCGGGGGGCAATAAAAGGAGGAGCCCTGATCCTGGGGGGGGGGGGGGGGCAATAAAAGGAGGAGCCCTGATCCTGGGGGGGGGGGGGGGGCAATAAAAGGAGGAGTAATGATCCTGGGGGGGGGGGGCAATAAAAGGAGGAGCCATAATCCTGCCCCTGGGGGGGGGGGGTAATAAAAGGAGGAGTAATGATCCTGGGGGGGGGGGGGAAATAAAAGGAGGAGCCCTGATCCTTGGTTGGTGGGGGGCAATAAAAGGAGGAGCCCTGATCCTGGGGGGGGGGGGCAATAAAAGGAGGAGCCCTGATCCTTGGTTGGTGGGGGGCAATAAAAGGAGGAGCCCTGATCCTGGGGGGGGGGGGGGGCAATAAAAGGAGGAGCCCTGATCCTGGGGGGGGGGGGCAATAAAAGGAGGAGTAATGATCCTGGGGGGGGGGGGGGGCAATAAAAGGAGGAGCCATAATCCTGGGGGGGGGGGGTAATAAAAGGAGGAGTAATGATCCTGGGGGGGGGGGGGCAATAAAAGGAGGAGCCCTGATCCTTGGTTGGGGGGGGGGGGGGCAATAAGGAGGAGTCATGATCCTCCTCGCGTCCTAAAGTCGCGTTCTCTTGAATCTAATACGGTAAAACGCAGCTCACAAGAGTTCCATCAGATTCCACTTGCTCCTTCACAAATAAACTCCCTCTATCTGGACCGTATGAACCTGGTAATGTAGTATATCTGCTTGTGATCACGTGCTAGCTCCTGTTAAGAAAGGAGGACCGTATGAACCTGGTAATGTAGTATATCTGCAGGTGATCACGTGCTAGCCCCTGTTAAGAAAGGAGGACCGTATGAACCTGGTAACGTAGTGCGAGGAGAGGACTCCCTCCGAGGGACCAACTACCACGGCACTGCTGGTTAGTCTCTTTTTCATGATTCCTCTCAACTTTATTGTTAGTTTTTACAATGAAATAGAAAGAATTTTTTCAAAACCGAGTATTGACTTTTAAGGTTGGAGCATATGGGCACCTGGATAAACATTTTTCTAGAAAGTTTTCTCCATCAGTTCAGTCTGACAACCTTTTGGGGTGTTTCTTGGGACTATAGACATTCCTGAAGAGAAACCTTGGCTACGATTTATTACAGCTTTGAGCTTATCCACTTCCCTAACATAGGCTAAGCATTACATGGATGTAGTTGCAACGTTGTTTGTCTGCGCTTGTGATGCTTTATATCTGACCTGATACTGCCCTGAATACTGCTCCTGAATACTGCATGAATAACTGCTGAAGCTGAATACCTGTCTGAATACCTGCCCAGGAATACCTGTCGTGTGTGTGTGTGTATAATAAAAGTTGTTACTTACATGATCTAATGGTGGTATGCAGTGGCAACTACAGCATAGTGCAGAGCGCTCAGCTAATGGATTCTAACCTTTTACACAGATGGTTACGAACTTCGAATAGTCCTTCTACGTGGTTGGGACTTCTTAGAATCCATATTTTTAGATAGTTTTAAACATTAGCAACATTAATTCCTTATCGGAGTTATGGGCGTGATGGTAATAAAAGGGTAGTAATGATACCTGGGCCCGTTGATTTGAGGCAAATGGGGGCAATAAAACTCGCACGCGAGCCTGCTCGCTTAGTTGTGTGGGCAATCAAAGAGGCGATCCTGAATCTGAGGTACGGGGCGCGGCAATAAAGAAAGGTGAGGAGCCCTAGATCCTTGGTTGGTGGGGGGCATAAAAGGAAAGGGGCCTGATCCGGGGGGGGGGGGGGGAATAAAAAGGGGGAGCCCCGATCCTGGGGGGGGGCAAAAAAAAAAGGGGAGTAATGTCCTGGGGGGGGGGGGAATAAAAAGGGGGAGCCTAATCGGGGGGGGGGGTAAAAAAAGGGGAGTAATACCCGGGGGGGGGGCTAAAAGGAGGAGCCCCGGTCCTTGGTTGGGGGGGGGGGGGGGCAATAAGGGGGAGTCATGATCTCCCGCGTCCTAAAGTCGCGTTCTCTTGAATTAATACGGTAAAAAGAGCTCACAAGAGTTTCCATCAGATTCCCCTTGTCCTTCACAAATAAACTCCCTCATCGGACCGTAGAACCTTTGGGAAGTGTAATTGTTGTGATCACGTGCTAGCTCCTGTTAAGAAAGGAGGACCGTATGAACCTGGTAATGTAGTATATCTGCAGGTGATCACGTGCTAGCCCCTGTTAAGAAAGGAGGACCGTATGAACCTGGTAACGTAGTGCGAGGAGAGGACTCCCTCCGAGGGACCAACTACCACGGCACTGCTGGTTAGTCTCTTTTTCATGATTCCTCTCAACTTTATTGTTAGTTTTTACAATGAAATAGAAAGAATTTTTTCCAAAACCGAGTATTGACTTTTAAGGTTGGAGCGTATGGGCACCTGGATAAACATTTTTCTAGAAAGTTTTCTCCATCAGTTCAGTCTGACAACCTTTTGGGGTGTTTCTTGGGACTATAGACATTCCTGAAGAGAAACCTTGGCTACGAATTTATTCCCAGCTTTTGAGCTTATCCCATTCTTGCCCTAACTATAGGCTATAGCTTTTATCATGGCATGTGTTGCAGCGTTGTTTCGTCTGCGCTTGCTGACTGCTTTATATACCTGCTCCTGAATACCTGCTCCTGAATACCTGCTCCTGAATACCTGCTCCTGAATAACTGCTCCTGAAGCTGAATACCTGCTCCTGAATACCTGCTCCTGAATACCTGGTCGTGTGTGTGTGTGTGTATAATAACAGTTGTTACTTACAGGTGATCTAATGGTGGTACTGTACAGTGGAACTACAGTCATGTGCAGAGCCGGCTCAGCTATCTGGATTCCTAAACCTGTTTACAACAGAATGGTTACTGAACTTCGAATAGTCCCTTCTACGTGAGTTGAGACTTCTTTAGAATCCTATATTTTTAGATAGTTTTAAACTAATTACAACACTCTATTCCATTTATCGAGTATTATGTATCGTGATGGAAATATTTTAAGGGGGTAGTTTTATAACATGAAGGCCTCGTTTTGATTTGTATATAAAAAGCACTAATAGAGGATTTGGGTTTAACCCATAAAACTCCGCACGGTCGTTATCGCTGCTCGATTAGTTGCTATGCTAATTCGCAAAGTTATTTTTGTGCGATATTCTGGAATCTGGATGGAGTTACTGTTGGTGCGCGGCGCTAAACTAGTAAAGCAAATTTCCAATTTGTACCATGCACGGGTCCCCCTAGCCTCCCTCCCCTAGCCTCCCTCCCTTAAATTATACCTATAATATTTATCTTGATAACTAGTTTATTTCTCCCCAGCAAGTCGTCAGTGGAAGCTGTAGAAGCTCTGAAGGTCTCGGAGCACAACCCCACTTCTCCCCATGATCTACAGGACTACATCCTCAGCAAGAATAACGGACCCAGGGAGACAGGTAGTGTTACCGAACTAACTTATAGTGTATATAATATATAATACTATATTAGTACAGGGTGGGCCAAAAGTCACTGGACATACGTTGGCCTTAATAGCTGTCACTGAGTGACCAATTGAAATAATTCTTTCTGGTACGACTTACTACCACCACTGGTTCGAGGAATTTGTCAAATCGAAAAATATTCGAGTTCATTTTTTTCAAATGAAGGTTCATTTTTGCATTTATTTGATAGTTTGGATAGTCGGATTGCGCTAAATTTTATTGAATTGTGTTTGGCCATTCGAATTACGTTTGTCCTGAAAAAATTAGAGCTGTAGCTTCTCAGATGGCCGAGATACGAAGCATAACGAGTTTATTCATTACGTGTGATCAGGTGATTGGGTTGATGCTAGATCCGCATTATGGGAATCGTGCAGAGAGCCCAATTACGGTGTCGTAATTGGGTAATCATTGATTACCCAATCAATTTTGATAATGAGATAAACAAATTGCTTGATAACTTCGTCATTTTAAATCCGTTTCGCACCATCTTTTCATATTATATTCCGGATTAAATGATCTATTGCAATATGTTACAACGGAGTCTCTAACATGTTCACAAACACCAGTATAAGCAATTCAATGTTGATTGGGTGTGGCCCCCAAAAATCGAATTTTCAAATTTTGGTGACGGAATCCTCGAACAAGTAGGTACAGTATTCCATCTGCAAACAACAACTTGTAATACTTTGTTATTGGTTCTCAAGATATAATACTTAACATTATACAGCTCAATTTAGATAATAAAATGTCTCACTGTATTACAGATGTTTGTGGAGATGTCCCCAAGACAGTTGTTTGTGAAGTAGTGGACGTAACACCAGTAGTTCTGGAGGACTACCCTTGCGACACTACCGACCAGGACACTATACTAACCACTCTTAGTCAGCTGGAGATCAGGGAGGAAGAGCAGGGTGAGTGCCATTCTGATTTATAATTTTACTTAAATCATTTCCACATTTTGACACAAGGGACACTTTTAATTTTGTAAAAATTCAGGAGAAATTCCAGGCTACATATCCGGAATGTTGGCGGACGAGGGACACTTTGACGAGATTCTAGGGGTTCCCGACCATCCTCGATTCAAGGAGATGGAGGAGGAGGAGGAGGAGGAAGCAGCAAGCAAACCTGGTACAGCTGAAATGTTACATTTTTGAATGATTGACGGCTCGATGATTACTGATTTCTATAACAGCCCTATAATATAACTATTGCAGTGTGGAGGTATACTGGTAAAGCAGCTGAGGGAAATAAGAGTCCCACCTCTAAACCTATGAGACCAATGTCCGCCTCACTTCCTCGTGGTGAGGATCAACCATACTTACTCTTTAGGAATATTGTTTAAACTATTCTTTAACGGTTGATCGGTAAAAATAAGGTTCCTGATCAGATCATACCATTACAGTTGTATAACTAATTGTCCAGGTAAAAGCACGTACAGGGAAGAGTACCACCTTCCAAGTAAGATAGACATGTCCTTCCCTGGAGTGGGGGCTCGTCCCGCCTCCTCCGCTGTCAGACCTCACACAGCCCACTCTTCTACTCCTTCAGGTACCAGCTTTGTGGTTAACCAGTACACTTTTATTTGCATAGTTTATATATTATTACCTTATAATATGAGCCCTGCTAACAGTTGATGTGACCTATTAATATTATTACCTCAGTGAGTCAGCTGAAGGAGAGAGAGAGAGCTAAAAGGGACGCTCAGGCCCACAAGAAACAAGATAGATTACTCCTAGCTAAGACACGCGTCACTCGTCAGCTCAAGTAAGTCGCACAGTTTTTCTAACGCAGTAGTAAGTTCATCAACAGAATTTAGTTCTTGTAAACGTCTTGAATTTCATGAATTTTCAATGATTGAGAAATAAGGTATAGTCGTGTTGAGAAATAAGGTATAGTCGTGTTGTGTCCGTATATAATGACTACCTTAGTCGGTAATATTATGGGGGGTCTAATTTTGGTGTTCCTTTTGTTATATCATTCATAATATGCTTAACGTTTCTTTCATTCACGTTCAGAAGTATGCTTACGTAATGTTTGCTGAATTGAAGCTAGTTCTGGTTCAAAAAGTCCGATTTGTCTACTATCCCCCCATGCTTTCAATTTTAAGGGTTAACTAGGAAAAATTTCAATCGGATATCTAATGAAAAAATATTAAATTTGTTGTGAAAGCGGCAATGTGGTGGGTCCGGGACTCTACGGCGTAAGATTTTTTTCACGAAAGGAAAGTCGCAGTTAAAATCGTGGGGGTCGAATTTGGTTCTTTTCGGACCAAAGAACCATATTTATAACAGTCCATATTTTTAACACCCATAATCCCCCCCCCCCCCCCCCCCCATAATATTACCGACTAAGGTAGTCCCTTTCAGAGAGCGGGACGCTATGAAGGAGCAGAGAGGGTTACAGGTTTCTAAAGATACTAAGTTCAGGGAGGGACCGACCGGGCAAGCTTTGTCTCGTTTTGCTGATAAAAAGAAGCTTAAAAATACTGGCTCCCACCAACAGGTAAGGAGATTGTTCGCACCAACAGGTAAGGAGATTGTTCGCACCAACAGGTAATGAAATTGTTCGCACCAACAGGTAAGGAGGGTAAGGAGATTGTTCGCACCAACAGGTAATGAAATTGTTCGCACCAACAGGTAAGGAGATTGTTCGCACCAACAGGTAAAGAGATTGTTTGCACCAACAGGTAAATAAATTGTTTGCAGCCACAGGTAAAGAAATTGTTTGCAGCAACAGGTAAAGAAATTGTTCGCACCAACAGGTAATGAAATTGTTCGCAATATTATTTTTGGATAATGTAAATCAGCGACTTATTGGTTTGGAAATTAAGTATGAAGTCCGGCTCAGGGAGCGCTGTCTGTTAACGACAGTCCTATCCCGGCCCGAACCACAGTGACGGTCCGGGACGACAAGACAGGACGCTTTTCCGGTTATCGGCTCTCAACTAAACTCTCTTCTGGGAAATTATCTCACAACATTCCGCCCACTTTCCAGGTTCCTTCTCTCACGTGTAGTGTACCCCCCCCCCCCCCCACCTACGTGTAGTGTACCCCCACGTGTAGTGTACCCCCCCACCACGTGTAGTGTACCCCCCACCCACGTGTAGTGTACCCCCCCCCCCCCCCCCACCCCCCCCCCCCCACCCACGTGTAGTGTACCCCCCCCCCCCCCACGTGTACCTTACAAGACATTTTTGTGGCGGACCAATTTGCGACGACCGAAATTTTGGCGGTCCGAAAATATGGCGAAATTGAACAAAAACCGTCACATTTCGGACGTCACAGAAAATAAGGGAATTTTTCATCATTTTGTTTTCTGACACAAAGGAAATTCAAAATTTTCTAAAAATCGGTAAAATCATGTTGAAACAAAATGAAACTTATAAATCGATTTCTTCATCTTCCTCTAAGGGGTCCGGCTCGACTCTTTCAGTTTCACTTATTGAGTTTGGTATTAAATTGTTTATCTTGACTTATAAGTCTCTTATAAGACGTTTATGTTAGCACATAAATGTAATTTATTGTAAATTTAAAACGTATTACTTGACATCAAATTCATCATGGAATATTGTGTTTATTTGTCCCACCATCATATCACTAACTTTTCAAGAACAAAATGAATCGATGAAGCCACAATTATTGGAATAAGCTAAAAATAATGCGACGGATTCTATTACGACGACCGAAATTTTGGCGGTCCGAAAATATGGCGAAATTTCGGGAAAACCGTCGCATTTCGTACGTTATAAAAAAGTCTTGTAAGGTAGTGTACCCCCCTCCCCCCCCCCCCCCCACGTGTTACCTGTGCTGACTGTGCTACCTTTATCTCACGTGTTACCTGTTTACCTGTGCTAACTCTTTATCAATACAACGCCAATTTCAACCCTCATAGTTGAAATATATAGTACCTTAGTTTTATTTATCTAGTACATAGTAGTATAGTGTACGTCCCAATTCCATTTTATATTTTCCATACTGATCTTATATAGCTAGAATGAAAGGTAAATATTAAAACTAATTAGACCTAGCAATTAGAAACATCCCGGAGGAGTTTATAACACAAAACGCCGGCACGCTCAAGGTTATATTAAAATAACCCCTTGTGCTAAAGCACGTCGGCGTTATTTTCATAATAATCCCTCGTGATTCGCACTCAAAAAATTGAAATATAATCCCTGTGCGTGCCGGCGTTACGAGTGCTATAGATTGTAAGTGTATTTCATCTCTTGTGCCACATCTCTTGTATCATATATTTCTGGTTTCAGCACAATTTCATTTATTTTGTGTATTTAAGTTAATATAAGCACTGTTGCAAACTGACCTATATTTACTGTAAACACACTGTATATTTACTGTAAACACACTGTATATTTACTGTAAAACACTGTATATTTACTGTAAACACACTGTATATTTACTGTAAAACTAACACACTGCTCCCCGTAGATAGGCTCTAGAGCAGCTGAAGCTAACGTTATCAGGGCAGTATCTCACGCTGTGCAGACCGATAACAAGTATTACGTCTCCAGACTTACTGCCTGATCAATGTTTCCTTATATGGTCAGGAGTCATCACGTGACAGATGTTTCCTTATATGGTCAGGAGTCATCATGTGACAGATGTTTCCTTATATGGTCAGGAGTCATCATGTGACAGAATCATTGTACCAGTACTTTATGCTAATTTTTGCTGAATACATTATAACTCTTTTACGGCTCTTACTAAATCGCTCGCCCAAAAATTTCACGTGACTTTGGTTTTTTTGGTTTTGCAGCCGTAGAAAACGGTTTTACATAAACCCTAATCCCAACCTTAACCCTAACCATAACCCCGAAGCTATCCATAATCTTAACCACAACCCTAACCCTAACCCGAGCCCTAAATAATCGAATTCACGTTTTACTAGCCTGTCACGTGACCAAAACGGTTTTTTGCCCATAACTCTCCAGGGAAGCATTTTAACCCTACGTCATGGGGGGTGATTCGGAATCAGCGTCCAAAAATACACCGATCTAGATCACTTTCATGCCTAAAGGGCCTTTCACAAGAATTTTCTTAAAATTTGGGCGAGCGATTTAGTAGGAGCGCTCTTTTACATTAGTATTAGTCGGTTAAGGGGGCAGGGGGGGGGTCTTCATGGAAATTTTCTCAAAATCGACTTTTTAGTTGTTTCTAATAGAGGGCAGTGATATCTATTAGATGCTTTTAATCCCATGAAAAAATATTGTTCATAGCCGAAATTATTGCCGGTCAAGGGTCAGCGCGTGTATGTAATTGTATTGCGCAAGGGATTTTTGATCGCGCGTCCTGAAAATCGAGTCTAAAAATCTATCTTCTCCTACATTTTTTCAGCAATCACTCTGAAACTTTCAGGATATGTTCTAAGGATCATTTAGAATTTTGAGATAGGCCTTTAAAAAATTTTTATTCGATTTTGAAATTCTTGGACCTCGAAAAATCATCAAAAAACGAGGTCCAAGATTTTCAAAATCGAATAAAAAATTTTTAAAGGCCTATCTCAAAACTCCATCCGGCTTATCTCTTCTAAATGGTCCCTAGAACATATCCTGAAAATTTCAGAGTGATTGCTCAAAAAATGTAGGAGAAGATTTTTTCAGGAGAAGATTTTTTCAGGACGCGCGATCAAAAATCCCTTGCGCAATACAATTACACACACGCGCTGACCTTTGACCGGCAATAATTTCGGCTAGAAACAATATTTTTCCATGGGACCAAAAGCAGCTGTTAGATATCACTCCCCTCTATTAGAAATAATTGAAAAGTCGATTTTGAGAAAATTTTCATAAAGACCCCCCCCCCCTGCCCCCTTAGGAATCGTAGCTCAAGTTCGGTTCCTATGGTGATGTATTTTTATGGTGATGTATTGGTAAACGAAATTAATATCTTTTCATAAAATTAGATTACTGTGTAGACTACATTTATACAGTGGCTTCACTAGTTGGGCCACTAATTGAAGAAAATTATAAATTAATTCAGTAGCATCAATGAAAATATCCCCCATTCTATTAACCAATGTTTATAATCGTTTCAGTAGATTTTGTGATTCCTATATCATGTATGGTTTGAAGATTTAAATTATTGTATTTAACACCGTATTAATATTCAATATTATCTTTATTGCTGGAAAAACAGCTCTTACTAATTCGCTCGCCCAAATATTATCTCGTAACTTTGGTTTTTATGGTTTTGCAGCCGAACAAAACGGTTTTACATACACCATAACCCTAACCACAGCCCTAAGTCTTACCCTAACCAGAGCCTTAAACAATCGAATTCGTGCTGTACTAGCCTGTCACGTGACCAAAACAGTTTTTCGCCCATGACTCCCTAGGGAAGCATTTTTACCTTACGTCATGGGGGGTGGGGGGATTCGGAATCAGCGTCCAAAATACACCGAATTAGATTACTTTCATACCTTCAGGGCCTTTGCACAAGAATTTTCTTAAAATTTTGGCGAGCGATTGAGTGGGAGCGGAAAAAACGGAACTTCTGTTCCATTTCCAATTTAACCTAAGTTCACAATTTAGAATTTATCAATTCAGATTTTATTTTCAGAAGCAGATTATTACGAACACAGAGTAAATAGTTGTAAATAGGTTGTATATATTATATTTGTATGATATAATGTTTATAGAAGTTTATTTTGATCACAAATATAAAACTTACTACATATATATAGTAAAGTTTAATCCGTTTAATCCGTTTAATCAGTAAAAATAAAATATATATATTTTATTTTTACTGATTAAACGGATTAAACGGATTAAACTTTAATTGGTCAAGAGAAGCCCTAACACTCCTGGCTTGACAATACAAGAATGAAATCATAACCTAGAAATCAGATACGAAAACCGTGAAGAAACAAATATCATAATTTAAGCTAAGTCTCTCGGGAAACGAAGTGCGTCTATATTAACTAAGAATTTAGCAATCTCTTTTAAAAGCTTTGGTTGAGTGAATATGAGATCCATTCCCTCGAAGAGGTTGGTTTTAGCTTCAGGGCTAAGGCGGTCCCTGTTGTCTTGGTAGAGGGGGCAGGTTCTAAGCACATGAACCTCATCTTCAATTATGGGATCAAAGAAGGGTAACTCTGCCATGTACTCCAGAGTGTTCTTGTCCTTAGTGGAACATGTAGGACAGATAAGATTTAGGATGTTGTTTCTTCTGACTTGTCCATGGCGTCCCGTTTCAATATTTAGGCGGTGAGAGCTAGTCCTTATTTGGGCTAGTCTTTTTGACTGGTTATATGGAAGATAGAGAGAGAGGTATTTTTCACAACCAAAACTTGATTTAATCGAATTGTAAAATCCAAGTTTTCTGTTGAGCTGTCTCTCTTCATCCCATTGCGTTCTAAAGCAAGAACGGAGAACATCTCGTTTCTGAATGGGTGATAGTTGCCTTTCGTTCGTTTCTGCCAGAAATTGATTCATCGACGTAATGCCGGAGTACCATGATAGGCCCATTTTCTTTTGTTCTGTGAAAGCATGTCGAACAAGGGCGTCCGATCCGGAAGTTTCCATGCTTTCTAGTCTTCGAACATAGTTAAATACTTGGGGACTGGCCTCAATAGCAAGAGGGTATCGACCCGTATCGCCCCACACTCCTGCATTGGAGGTTCTTTTGCCGACGCTTATAGTCCACTTTAGGAAGGAGAGGTGAACTTTCTCGATCTGATCTTCGGCAATTTCCTTGAGTTGAGGGAACTTGTTCCGGGAAGAGAATGCCGTCGTGAATTTGGTCTGGGGTAACCATATCTGACAACCGTAAGACTGTAAGAGGCGATAGGGAGAACTAAGGCGTCGAAAAGCTTAAATATCACAGTTTTCTTAATTGACTGTAGGTCAATCATACTTTTGAGTGAGAAGTAGCTTCTGATAGCTTTCTGCTTCAATTTCACTTGTGCTAGCTTCAGACTTCCAGTAAGAGTATATGTTATGCCGAGGTAGGTATATTCTCGGACAGAGGAGATGGATATTTGGCCGTAAGTGAAGTTTTTGCTTTCTTTTAGTATCCTCCCAGCACGGTTGAAAACCATGATAGCTGTTTTAGATATGTTAACTGACAAGCCCCACTCAAGGCAGTAGGATTCGAGAGTGTTGAGCATTTTCTGGAGACTCATCGAGTTTAGGGCAAGCAGTATTAGATCATCAGCCCAGAGTAAGTGAGTTACTCGTGTCGAATTGATGATAGGCACTTCAACTTCTTCCAGCTCGTTAAGGTCTTCAGAGAGCTGATGGATAAATATCTTAAAGAGTTCAGGAGACATTGGGTGACCCTGTTCTGTGCCACAAAGAACATCAATCCTTTCTGACAGTTTGTTCAAGAGTTTAATTTTCGCTGATGAGTTAGTATACATGTGTTTCAAACAGCTGAAGAATCGGCCTTGTATTCCTAAGTGCCAAATCTTGTATAACAGAGCTTCTCTGCAAACTGTGTCGAAAGCTTTGGCATAGTCGACGAAGCACGCGTAGACTCGCTCTTTCTTCTTTGATATATACTTCTCTACACATGTTGAAAGGGTTAGCATATGGTCAGCAGTTTGTGCTCCTTTGCAGAACCCTAGTTGATTCGAGGTGTCAGGACAAGCAAGATTTCTGAAACTGATCAGGCGCTGTAGAAGTATACCAGAAAATAGCTTCCCGATATTACTAGCAACAGCAATTGCTCTGTAGTTGTTTGGGTCGTATATACTACCTTTTTTGTGCAGCGGGGTTAAGACTGAGGTGCTCCAGGGGTAGACACCAAAAGAGAGGCACTGATTGAACAAGTGTAAGATAGCGGTCTGCATGTTCATGTTCGAAGATTTAAGAAATTCGTTCAGGACACAATCCTCGGAAACTGCTTTGCCTCTTGCCTGTGTTACCATTGTACGTACTTTGGATACTTTGGAGAGATTCGTAGATTCCTCTACTGGGTCATCGAATAGTCCGACCGCCCTTGCAGCATCGCTGCTGCCTTATTCATACTCCAGTCCAGAAAAGAATTTCCCTTTAAGGGCAGCTGTAATTGCTCACAGATGGGTACTGCTCTTGCTGAGACTTGGAATGGTAGTCTTGATGGAGTAGAGTAGAAAAATGGATCCCCAGGTCATTTGGGCAGCGTTGGTGCAAGATTTTCCACATGTGGATGTTAATATTATCGCTCTCTCCTCCTTTGCATCGACATTAAACTTAGTGCTTTGAGCCGCTGCCAATATTCAAGATGTTAAACACCCCAAATCCTTGATGAGTTGATGTGAAAGTACGCTGTACTCCTTGAATCTGTTGGATGTCTGACATGAGATTTTACTGGTATTTCACAGAGGGCAGCAGTACTCTAAATGACTTCGGACAAGTGACTTGTAAAGTGTAAAGACACTATAACTCCAAGATCCTTAACTTTGTCTGTACGATAGAGCATATTACCATCTGACATCTTGTATGTTTGTGTTTGACATACAAAAAGGCAGCTCATATAGACTCTCATTAGGATTCCCCCGGTGAATTAGGAGCTCAGATTTATCCTCATGTAAAACCATGTTATTAAGTTTGGCCAAGCAATAACATGGTCGAGATCTTGCTGAAGAAGGACAACATCCTGTTCTGACTCTGTATGTGCTTGACTCTGTATGTGCTTGTATCACGTTGCGACCCCCACGGTCGTTTCACTATCGTCCTGACGATACAGGAGGAGCCGCGCACTTCGTGCGCGGCGGGTCATACAACGTATGACAAGTATGACTATGTATTATAAAACAGGATCTTACCGACA